CTGTTAGGAATACTTTGCGTAGGCAAAACTTGCTTGTTTTAACCAGTTTACAAAAACTAAGTTCATGCATTCGCAAGTCGCGCATGACAAAAGAGTCGCGATTTTGAGGTCATTGTGTATGGCCTAAGGCATACCTCGCGCGATTTCGGTCGCTGCGCGATTTGGCACAACAACGACTCTTCGTAATTCGTCCTTAAAGGCAGTAGATCGGCAGAATGAGACCCGTGACAAAACAAGGTCACAGGGTAGGAGCCCCCATATGGAACCTATCGGCCAAAGTCCGATAGGTTCCATATGGGGGCTGTGACCTTGTTTTGTCACGGGTCTCATTCTGCCGATCTACTGCTGATGCGCTGCCTTTGGTCAGAAGCTCTGTTTGCAACAACTTGCTCAAGCTACCCAAATATGCGCCCGAGAAGTACGCATAATAAATTTATAGAAATCTGGCAAAGCGCCAAATCGCGTGAAAGTGGCGATTCGGCCGAATCGCGTGATATATGCCTTAGGCCTATGCCCCTCTGTCGCTTACATGCGACCCAAAGATTACTTCACGGGAGAGCGCAATTTGACAGGATCGCGTAACAGAGAATCGAAAGAGAAACTTATGAAAAACGTGCAATCAAAAATTGCTGAGATACTGTTTCTGAGAATCTTGAGGAAAGTGTTTCAGCACGTTTGATTTTGGCATTTTTATGGACGTCGTGATCCGGTGGCAGTGCAAAGATAATACTACTTTAGCATGCTTGCTAAGTTTGGGCAAGGAATTCAGGTAGATATAGGAACATTCAAATATTGCGTGGTTCAACAGTTGTAACTCAAGGTACCGAAATTACTTTAGTAAGGGAGACTATTTGCTTCTTAAAAAATGGACATGCAGACTCACTCAACTCGGGTAAGTTCGATCTATTCGTATTCTTTTCTTACAAGGGAAGGATACCAAATCGCACTGACGAACCGAAATGATATGCATATCATTAGATGCGTTTGGATGAGCTGATTCTAAATCTATCCTTTCTTATCCATCTCTATCTTCTGTAGAAGGAGCTATGGGCGTTTGAATGTCCAAATTTAGCAAACATTCAGTGCCTATCTTCAAGAACACTTGTTCAAAGACGCCTACTCATGTGTTCGGTGCTGTATGGCTCCTGCCAGAGTGCCGAAGTTATGCCAGCGCTACGCCAGCATTTCGATCGATACACGTGTATTTCGTTGGGGCGGGGCTAGCTGATGTCCCCAACGAAATACACGTGTATCGATCGAAATGCTGGCGTAGCGCTGGCATAACTTCGGCACTCTGGCGGGAGCCTATGCATTTTTTGTAGTCAGTGTATCCAAGCATGCCAATTGATTACTCCTAAGCTAGTTTTTGATACGCATTAGGCATTAGAATCTCAACAATGTCACATATTTAAACGCGCATGGCTTCTTCTAGAGAAGATCGTAGCAGATAGGAAAGGTAGATTTGGAATCAGCTTATCAAGACGCATCTAATGATTGCATATCATTTCGGTTCGCCACTGCGATATAGTATCCTTCTCTTGTTAGACAAATTATTTTGAACGAGAAAACAGTCAAAACAGAAATGACGAGTTTAATGAGATAACCGCAATCACTCTCCTCGTCCCGCAACTTGTCAACAAGTAAGCGCAAACCCTTACCATTCTTTATTATGAAATGATTTGGCTTGCTATTATAATCGTCCTCACCCCACTAGACACCCAAGTGGACAACTTCGAATTCGCACTCGATTACGTTGGTTGCGATGGTACGCAACACACTGAAGTGTAATTGACGATTTTGGATGAGCGATGTTGGATTGAATGGTTGCATTTGTGAACCTCGTGTCAAAAGTTCCCCATCTGCATCATTTCTTCGAGCTTGTTTGGAAACGAAGTTGAGGATATGTATGAGCACAGCAGTATGAACGTTTAACAAGAAATTATTACCTCTGATTGGGGATATGAATGAAAACAAAATTTAGCTGGAAACAAAATTGCACCTGGCATACTATTCAAACTCAAATTCATTTCAATAGGTGATTAATGGGTTGAGGAGTAGTCATACGTGCGATACATTTCGAGCGATTTTCATGTCTTTAACCGTAAAAAATTTCCATTCTACCGCAAATTAGAAATAAGAGCAAAAGCGGAAGGGCTTTGCTGAACATTAAGACGTATTACGTTGGTACAAGTATGTCTTGCATATGTTGGTATGCCTCCACAGTGCATTTATGCCGCAGCAAGTCAAATTTTTCGAATAGGCCTCGAAGAAACATTGTTAGAACAAAGTAAGCTTTATAAGGCGCATGCGAAAAGTTTAATCCACGCGAAGTTTGAAGCCAAAAACTAAAAAAATTTAAATACCCGAAAATACGAAGAGGAGTACGAACTTCGGATCTCTTACCCGCTTACATGTCTTATATATAAAGCTGAATGTCTGTTTGTATGTCTGTATGTCTGTCTGTCTCTGTGTACGTATGTTCCGAATAGAAAATTCCATTTCTGAACCGATCCGGACCAAACTTGGCACACATACACTTCGGGCCCCGGCGGGTGTCATAGGCTACTTTTCGTCATCGATCGATATCGAATTTATCGATTTTTTGCAAAATTTGAGCTACAGGGCTGGGAGTTGGCACAGGGGGGTAATCGAGCATGCTGATTACGAATAAAATAATGACAGGACCGGGCGGAGCCGGGTAAGCCAGCTAGTTTATCATAAAGCATCTGTACAGTTGCTGCATTCTTGACACGATAAAATAAGATATTTATGACTTTGCCGACGCAATGCTGAGCTAGTGGATACATTAGAAACCTTTGAGGATATTATACAAGCCTTCTAAAAGAGCTAATCTTCGAGATATATCGAACTTGGCTCTCTCCAGTAGGTTTTGTTACGCCAAGTTCAATATTTCTAGTAGAGTAGCTCTTGTAAAAGATCAAAAATTCAAGGCTTTACCTTTGAGAGCTTGTAGTGTACAAGTACCAGTATGAGAACAGCTCAGCATGCTTCGGCAAAATTATAGATTTCCATTTTTTTTGATTTATAGCCGAAGAAAGAAAAACAGCAACTGTCTGAATGCCTTATGTAAAAATGTATGTACTTAACACGTTGACGACGAGCCATTTTTTGAAGGTCTGTCCCTGTGGACGAACCGTTTCCGGGCATTTTCACAGCCGGCTGCACATATATATGCATGCATCTATGCGTGAGATACACAAATTCAAGTGGGCGGGGCAGCTCCGCCCACTTTTAGCAAGCTCCGCCCACTTCTCAAAAATGCTGGAAAGTGCTCAAAATCAATGAATTCACGCAAATTGCGGCATTTTTGAAAAGTGGGCGGAGCTTGCCATAGAGGGGGTGGAGCCTGCATTACGGGGGGCGGGGTCAAAATTAAGATTATTTGAGGTTCCCTGTCATCTATGAGCTTTTCTATGCGATTTGAAAACGAAGAAAGTTTTTTGTAGAGGGCAATGGAGTGGGCGGAGTTTGCCAAAAAGGGGGCGGGGCCAACCTGAAATACTTTCGAGCCTAACATGATTATATGAACACAAACTGGAACCATTGTGCACATTAAAACTGATTAGGGTGTCGCGCACCATTGCGCGACATCGTTAACAGGGACAGACTGCCTGTCGCGCACCATTGCGCGACACCGTCGTTAACGTGTTAAGGAAGTAGGCGATCAGTAGGACATTATCTAAAGAAAGTTTCAAGTTTTTATCGATTTTTCGAGCAACCAGTGTTTTTAGTTTTTGGCTTCAAACTTCGCCTGGTAAGATTTACTTGCTCTATCTAAAGGTATCTCGGAACCGACTTATAGGCCCGTAGTAAAGCTAATTCAACTCAGGTGAACTGAACTGGAGCCCTCCTCCGAGGAATCGGTAACGTAGAATGACTATCACCACTTTTCCATGCTGTAAGAATGCAAAATGAAATCGTAGTTGGCCGTTCGTCAACCTGACGAGGACGTCTACCTTACTCAAATCACTTTACTTACAGTTAGACTACCAGTTGATTTGAATAGTGTGTTAGCGATGTACGCAGAGAAACTTTCTGTAAGTTACTTTTGACCTGAGTAACTTACGATACCCGTCAGTTCAACATGTCGAACATACTGAGTGAGGAGAGACAGTGCAAGCTGACAATCTTCAACTAGTGTAGCCAGCCTCCGCCGCTGGTACCAATTACAAAGATGTGAATGTTTGGTAAACGCGTTTTGACTTGTAGACTTGTGCATAGACGTGGCGCTCTCAATGTTATCATCGTGGATGGTTGGCACTATCAATAAATGGCTCGATTGATTGCAAGCTAACTCGTCGAAGCTTCAAATGAATTTTATTCAGTTGAGATCTACTGAGGCAGATTTCGGGCCATAGTGTGGGGGCATAGAACTTGCTGTGGTATAAATGCACTTTCATGCAGTACTTATAAACCAGTCTAAGGTGTCGTGGCAAGAATACTGGCTTGCTGAAATTATTTCTCTCAACTTTCCGCAACTCCAAGATTAATGCTCATAAGAGGATTTGCAATATGAAGAAGTGAAGTTGATCGGTACCCACTATGGACCCGCCCAAGGCATTCTACTTCATGATTGTAGAGATTTCCCTTTGCATGCGAACCTTTACAATAAGCAGCGATCACGCGTTTGCCTAGTCAGCAAGCTAATCCGCACCGGGGCAGTGTCCGAGGAGTTTTTAGAAGGTAACCCTTCCAGAAACTGTGCGCGAAAAATGCCGGTGGTTTTTATTTGTTTACCCGCAATTGCCGCAAAATCTTAGCACCGCAAGGGCACCATGTTCATGTTTTGGCACCATGTTTTGTTCATTGACTGTATATGTATAGTCCAACTTTGATGCCAATACGTTTGCGTTCTGTAAAAACATCAATCGTTTATTTGGCAACACCTTTTGATTGCGAACTTATGGAACAAGCATGTCAGTTATGTAACAACTTGATATTGAGTGTATGCGACAAGGGTAAAGGAACAAATACCTCACATGGGCCTTGCCTCCGCGGACCACAGTCTTTCGCGCATGTTAGTATACCGTCTTAAGACCAGCGGTCCGCGGATGCGGCAAATGGAGGTATTCGTTCTTCTACTCTTACAGAGGTACCTATGGAAAGTTGGCGAGCAAACATTCTACAAGCATATCAATTCAAATTTCAGATATGAGTATCCCCTAATGACACCAGTTGAGAAATTCCCTCAAACGGAATACCTTGACTGTAGACAAGTTTATGTGAATCTCACATTCTCACCCACCATGGACAACACATTTTCGGTAAGCATACATTTAGTATTTTCATCATTTATAAAAGATTATTCTGGCAATACTTACTTACTTTTTGTTAGATACTTATTAGATGGCCCAGTGACGTTGCAGTCCCCAGCACAGAAGTTTCCATTCCTCCCTGTCCCTCACTTCACATCCACGATTTTCTTGGCTGACGTCGGTGGCTGCGTCCACAAGTTCCAGGTGCAAACGTATCCAGCTGATTTCTCAGCTGCCCATCCGTGTCATGAACACGTCTGCCCATCTCGTCAGTAGTCTTCCTCGGGACGTTTGGATTTGCGAGGAATCCACTCCGATGTTCTTAGTGTTCATCTGTCGTCTGTTCTTCTCATAATGTGACAGCCCATCGATGTTTTGCTTTCGGAACGTATTCCGCTGAGTCACGAAGACGAGACATTTTTCTCATATCCAAACTGCGGATCAGACAAGATGTTGTTTGTGTCGGGTCAACTTCAGAAGACTGCGCTCTAGCGCTCTGTGGGTAGTTCTTGGAGCTTCCGACGTGTCTCCGGCGTCAGCCCCAGTCTCAGATGCGTAGCAGAGCGCTGGGAGAACGGTTAAGTCGAACGGGGGGCATGGAACTCCGGGTCCGTCAATTGCTAGGTGGCTTCCTTCAGAGTTCGAAAGGCGGCCCAGGCTGCTCTTCTTCTCCTGTTAAGTTCTCACCTTAAGCCGTTCTCTATGATCATCGAATGTCCGAGATACACGTAAGAAGAGACGTCTCCATGATAGTGGTGCCTTCCAATTCTATCTCTGCGTCTTCACAAAGGGCGTCCTTCATGAAGTGAGTCTTCTTCCGATTTACTTGCAATTCGATCTTCTTCCCTACTTTGTTTAGTTCCTTCAGCATCGTCTCTTCACAGATATTGCTCGAGAAGGCAACGATGTCGTCCGCAAAACGAGGAACTGAACGAAGTAGGGAAGAAGATCGGGTTGCGAATAAATCGGAAGAACACCCAGTTTATGAAGGTTCGAAAGGAACCTTTTCATCAACATCTATGCCTTCGACTAAAGCTTGCAACCCGAAATAGCATGCCAGATCACCGTGTTCCAACTTCAATTCTACACTTTTGATGCAAGAAGTCGATAAAACAGAAAAAAGTGCCTATCCTATTCCTACAGCTCACAAACAAATTTGAAACTTACAAACAAACGAACAAACAAACTAAGCTTCGTAAAGGCGAGTTGTAAGTTACTTTAGTCATATAACCATGAGTAGGAATAATAATAATATAACCTGAGTAGGAATATAATCCTGTTTGTTTATGTAGATTGGTACTCGCGGGCTGTTGACTGCCGAATTGGTTAGGTTGTCTCAAATGTAAGCTCCTTTCCTAGATAAATTGAGTTGTTTCTGTTTTCTTAGAAGACAGTGTAGTATCCGTTGGAGCGAAGCAAGCTCTACGAAAAGACTGCCAAAGACGCGCTCAAGTCGTAACCCAGATGAAGATTGAAGCCGAAATCGAAGAAACATTTAGCACATGATTGGATTTTTGCGAAAAGTAGTATGCCACTGAAAATTGGACTTTTGTGAAAAAAAAGCTTACAGATCTCCAACTCAGTTAATATAAAGTAGATACGTAGTAGTACTCAAAAATATTTTTGGTAGATATTTTCACATAAAAAGCGAGAAAAAAGTCCAATGGCAAATTTCGCTTCTAGCCTCTCCCACACATGTCATTGTATACTGCAAGCCTTATCAAGAATAACCACGAAATTCTACCTCTGTATGCGTCCTAATGATCGACAAATACCAAGATTAGCATAAGAAATCCAAGAAAGATTTATGCGTTTCTAGGCTATATGAATTTCTCATGAGTTCCGGAAACATTCAAGATACCTTTTTGGGTTCTACCAAGTAATGTAGGAGGTCCATAGAAAAATTCTGAAAAAAGATCCGATTTCTAAATTATTCTGATTTTTGGCTCCAAATTTTAATTGAATTCATGCCCTCGACACATAAAGCCACGTAATCCAGTAACCTTTACTTTTAGCACATGACTGAGCACAACTTTCACCTAGATAGAAACACATAAGTGATCCGGGGCGAAGCCCGGATGTTATGATCGTAACTATAATTTATCGGAATGAATGTGAATGAAACAAACATTGGGTAATATCTCAAAAATGTAATCAAAACCGAAATATTGCGTTTTTATAGCCTTTTCAGACTACGAAAAAGGTTGTCGTGAAAATTCCCTCAAAATTCAGACAATATTTCTCATTTAGCCTTTTTCAGAATACGATTAAGTTTTAGAATTTCACGAAAGCTAGTGAAGTTCAATAAAGGCGAGAAACAGCGCTTAAATCTTGCGCAGAGAGTCGCACCGATAATGCTGATTCATCTCGTTGAAGAGTGACATTCAACGCGCTTTGGACGTCGTCGATGTTCCTAGTCGTGTCATGGGGATCAGAATGATATGTGTGTTGCAGGTTTCGCCGAGACCTCACGAAGATCTACGACCAGGGCCAAATGCCCGTCAGCTCTGGTCTTTCTCCTCTGCTCGTCTGCGTCTCCGCGCGTTGCGTGACACTTTTCTTCGTTATTCTGGACCCAATTGGAGCAAATTACATATCATATTGAAGCTCTTAATCTCTACTTTCACGCTGACAACGTCCTACACCCCTCTTTCTGAATTGACGGATAAATCTGGCAAGAAAATGTTTTCGAAAACCTCTTGTTTTTTTTTCATTTAACTCTTTTCATGCTGTTTTTCGTGCATTCGGTAGATCTTGCTTCTGCGTGTGTTAGAGACGTTCCAGAGCTTACTTCTTCGATGCGGCAGACATCTTGCAAAAAGTCGCGAACAGAGCGTTTTTCTTTACCTTGTTTTTTCAATGTTTTCACAGCAATTTTTTCCAATTTGAGCGAGCATTGCTCAGAATAATGAGCAACAGTCCAGACAACGCAGAAAACAGGATCGTCTTTGCAAGATAAAAATTTGAAGGACGCATATATTTGGCCTTGAGCGCACTTCAGATTAGTAAAAAAGAAACATTGCATTTCATATTCAATTCTTTTCATGTTTATCTTCTCCTTGATAATCATTACTTTCGAAACATGGTTATTTTGGGAACAATCTATGAGATTAGCTGTTCCTCGTTTTCCCCGGTACTGGATTGCCTGGTCCTGGCCGAAAGCTGCACTTGCAAGTGCCGCCGAACGAATGATTTCAGATCTGTTGCAGCTTTTTTATCCGGTTTCTAGTTTTTTTTGCTTTTGCTAACTGTTTTGCATCTTTTTTCTCTGAGTTTTTATTAATAACCTTCACTTTTTATGAGGGGAGAAAAAACAACCTTCACTTTTGACTCCTTGTCTCTAGACTCGAAGGTATGCCTGGATTACGACTTGGGCGAATCTTTGATAGTCATTTTGTATGCCTGCTTCGCGCTATCGGATGGTAGAGTCTGCTAGGTCCTAGGTCTACCCTAGTCTGTTAAGAAAACAAACAGCTAAATTTATTTGAAAGGAGTTTACTTACGGGACAACCTAAAAGTTTGGTCTACCCTTTCAAAATTGTTGCAGTTTCTATGCATGACACATTGAGACTGTAGCGCAAACCCTACATCTTACACACATTTTCTGGCTTAGATGTAGCTTTACAGGATACGAACCTCGCTCAGCAAAAAATTGACTATATGAATGAACTAGAGGATTGGTGCGGAAACGTGCCTGCAGCAAGTAAGTATGTGTGAAGCTTACGGAAGATTCGAGAGGAAGAGGCGAAACAAGCATAACGAATCCCTACCATCATCATTTACTACAGTCATAAGTATGTCGATTTGACAAACTGTCAAAGACAATACACTTATAAAACGACGGCTTCATAGATTTAGCCAGGCGGGCATTATACAAGCCTGGCAGTGGCGTACCCAGAATTTCGGCTCGGGGGGGGGGGCGACAAAAATTTTTTTCGAATGAAAAAAAATTCGAAAAAATTTTAGGGGTGCTTCTGAAAATTTTTGTGGGTCCCCAACCCCTAAAATCTGGAAAAAGGGGGCGTGGCTGACGCCACGCCCCCGAAAAAATTTTTTTTACAAAGCTAATTTGTATTTTTAAAAATTTTTAAAAATTATTTAAATTATTTACAAGTAAAGACAAGTCCTTTGCACATTTTTATAACACATTTGAGTAACTTTCAAAAATTTTGCGACCCATATGTCCTCGAATGTTTTTCGTGCTACTCAACTTTTGATTCAGCATAACGAAGAACTAGAAGATGCGAAAAGCCGTGTACATCCTTGATTACTCTATAAAGGAGGGGAATTTAGTGACTGCGGTCATTGATGTGGTGTACATTGAAGATGTGCCTTTATTAGGCTGGTGCATTAGTTCTGTCCTAATTCGTTCGAATTCAACTGTCATAACTTCTTTCAAAATCAACTTTTATCCGTAGCCTCAATTCCTTTGTATTAAGCAATTCTTCGGCTATCAGAAAAATACTGGCACTTGCGAGAAACCCTGTTAGAGAAGAAGCAAGAACTCAAAAACATTGCGGCGTTCTTCTTCAGATTTGTCTTTTTGGCATGGCAATGCTCCCTTATAAAAACTGAAAGGCATATCGAGTAGACATGGGTAGATAGAGAAAATTTCGAAGATTATTCTACAGCTTGAACGTGCTCGTGTGGTCCTCGGTGCCGAGAGATATTTCTGACTGAATAAAAATGAAACCGTTTTTTAACCTTGTTTCGATACATGTATCTATGCCTACGTTCAAGTTATAAAGATTTTATACTTGCTGCTAGGGGTGAAAAATGATTGGTGACTGGGCTCTGTTAGCTCTTGCATTACTCTGGCACCCCCTATATTAGCATTTATTGCCTTTATTCACGAAAAGTTATTGTTTGTAGAACTTTTTACAAACCATTATTCTTCAACAACAAATTTCATCAGCAAGACATTTTTTTTACATGGAAGTGAGTTTGTACATATACTAAGCTGTTCCATCCTCATTCCGTGTCAATACAAGGGCTTGATTTGGAGTACATATAGTGGAGATTTTCTCGCAAGAACATTTTCTTAGTTGAGAACGTGCCTCGACCATCTGAGGATCATAAGCCTGAAATCCTGTTGGACTGAGGATTTTATTAAAATATCCCACGTTTTCGGAACAGCAAGTGAAGCGCTTTCTAATGGTGCAGGTGTCATCGCATCATTTGTAAAAGTCTCCTAGAAGTGCTGCTTCAAAGACAAGGCAAAAAAAATCGGACAGAACTTATGCAGCAGCTTAGTATATGCTAGTATCAAATGTGTCTAACTCTGTGAAACTTTTTATTTTTGAGTTACAAACTTCCGAAAAAGTTTAGACCATGAAAGCAAGATCTTCTACTGTTTATTTGTAACTACAAATTTATACACGGAACAAGCTTGCCTCAGATGGTGTTAGGGCTTTGCATCTGCTTTAACCCGGGAGATTCTGAAACACCTTGATTTCCTTTCTTTCAAACACCTTCTTCTTGATTTTGAAAACCTTCACGAAGTCCCCTTTGACCAATTTTCGAGCCTCCACCACTTCTCACTTGTCTTTTCTTCCGGAATGTCGCCCATCTCCGGATTGATGGTAAGAGTGTAAAAAAAAAACCCCCCCCCCCCCCTTTTTATGCATTCATTTCACAAAGAATGAAAAACTTTTACCTTCGCACCGTATGAGTTTTGCCGTACCAAGGTTAGGCACTCGTCTCCTCCCCTCACCCTTCACTTCTCTCCCCCCCCCCCCCCTCCCCTCCTTTCCCTACTTCTACTCTCTTCACTTCCACCTACCCATTACAAAAAATATCACAAAACAACGTTGTAATGGCAAACGGAAAGGATGGATAATGTGTATTATGAAATAGTTACCGATTGAATCCCTAATACAATGTGAAGAGAAATGACGGTAATAAATATTGAAATAATGTGAGCAAGTGAGACGAAAGTGAAAATGTACAGAAGTGGACAAGTAAAACCATGGTACGAAAAAGTACAATGTTTCGATGTGAAATCTGTTCATCACCGACGAAATCGCAAATAGAAAATAAGTAGAGAAATTGGAATACCTTTTCCCTCTTATTCCAGTCCACATGTTCAGTAGTAATCTCTAACAATTTGTATTTCAATATGAGAGCCCTCTTGGTCACCAGTGGTGCTTAAGAAGAAAGTTAGAAGAAATAATCGCGCAGATGCACGTAAAGGCTACCGAATGACGAATAAAAGCAGTATTACCCTAATTTCACGCGTACAAGGCGCGGGGTGGTCCTAGCTTTCATCGACCAGCCCGAACACGGCAAAGGACTTCGCAACCAAATGAACCCCATACCGTGCTGCGTTTTGCCTGACGAATCGTGCGGCATAAGGATCGCTTCTTAAAACACGTTCGGGCGGCTGAGCAGCTCGATGAAAGTTAGGACCACCCCGCGCCTTATACGCGTGAAATTAGGGTAATTGGGCGGACGCAAACGCGCGCGCGTATCTTCACCGTTGTAAATCCTGCGCCCCATGCGCTCTGCGGCTAGTAATGCCACGTTCGCGCTCGAAGATATTGCGTCTTAGTCATGCAATAGGTATACAAACGCAGATCGGAGGAACAAGTGCAGGTAAGGAGCGACGAAAAGAAGAGGTTTGCGCGCGCCTTGCGATACAAATTGCGCTGCCAGTGGATACATTCAAAGATTATAAAAGAGATAAAGAAAAAATTCTGAAATCTTTTTTGGTCCTATGAAACTTTTAGAGTGAGATACAATTTATGTAAAAAAGAGTATGAAAAATTATGCGAGCAAAATATCGGTCCAGCTCGGCTAGTAATTTACCCAGCTGGAACTGTTCCAACTGAAGAAAACGGTAGGAACTTGAGCAAGGCTTTCATTTACGCAAGATTTTATTATTTTTTGGGTCATTCACGCTAGCTCACGCGCACGTATACATCAAATTCAATAGATGGCTATCACTGCGTCTTGGTTGTAAACCAAACGTTTATTTGATGGGAGCTTTATTTTGCCCGCACTGCTAGAGCGTGCAACGGCATGCAGGAGATCAAGCCAGGACTGAGCACACCGCCAGCATGACCACTTAAAGGCAGTGTCCGGGCAAAAACTCGATTTTGAGGTTTTGTGCTTACTTGGGCCTATTCGCTACGCTGAATCCGAAAATGCACATTGTAGAGCGCGAAAATGGCGAAAAACGGCTCTAACACAGGAGGGAAATGAGCAGGTGGGCGGGGCCCTCCCCACTGCGAATTCACGTTACCGGCTTCCGGAGCGACCTTCTCGCTTCCGTTTTCAAGTCAATCATTCGCACTTGACCGGTAGCAATGTTAGGACGGCTAGCGGAATCGAGAAAATCGCTCCGGGAGCCGGGAGCGTGAAATCGCACTGGGGAAAGCCCCGCCCACCTGCTGATTTCCCTCCTGTGTTAGGGCCCTTTTTCGCCGTTTTCGCGCTTTCCAATGTGGATTTTCGGATTCAGCATGGCGAATAGGCCCGTATAAGCACAAAATCTCAAAATCGAGTTTTTGCCCGGACACTGCCTTTAACTTCTTAACACTGGTGCGCATGTCTGGAACCTAAAGGATGGATGCTGCGATGCTGGTTCTCTATCATATGGATTGTCAACACACATAAAGGCTACTGCATGACGAAGGCGCAGGAGCGGTAGTGATTGAACGGGCGCGAACGCGGCGCGCGCGTATCCTCACCGTTGTAAAACCTGCGCCTCATGCGCTCGGCGGCTAATAAAGCCGCGTTCGCGCCCAAAGGTATTGCGCCTTCGTCATACAGCAGCCTATATCTTCATTTTTGGAGCTCCGAATCCCGCAAAAGCGAATCTCCAGATATCAAGTTTGACAAGATGCCAGCTGCCACGAGCCCTGAATGGTGTTTCAGCGTATAGTAGCGAAATCAACGGGGATGATTTTATGACTCCACTTTGCATCATCAAACATCGTCCGCAATTTGTTTCGGACAAGATAACGAGGATTTATTCAGAATCAGCGTTTCAATTGCTTTTTTAAGTTTAACGCTCTTTCCACAGACACCAGTATCCTTTTCCCTCTTGAGTATAACTGCATGTCAAAGGAGGAAGAGGGAGAAGGGAGGCCTCCTCCTCAACTTCTAAAAGGAGTCGCGAAATTTCTAGAAGCTACTTACATCTTATATATAAAGCTGAATGTGTGTGTTGTCTGTGTGTCTGTGTGTCTGTCAGTCTTCTGCCTGTCTATCTGTACGTACGTGCGTATTTTCCGAAGAGAAAATTTATTTTAAACCGATCCGGACCAAACTTTACACACACACAGTTCCGGGCGGGCTATTTTAATCGATTTTATCGATTTTTTGCAAAGTTTGGGGTACGGGGCTGGGAGATGGCACAGGGGGTTTAGAGGGCATGCTTACGAATACAATATTAGTTTTGGTATCATTCGTTACTTTTAACGATTTTACCAATTTTTTTCCCAAAATCTGAGCTATGGGTCTGGAAGTTGGCGCAGGGGATAATCGAGCATCTGACTACGAATACCTTATTAGTTTTTAGAGTTCGTTACTTTCATCGATTTTATAAATTTTTCTGCTAGGTTGTAGTTACGGGGAGGGAGTTGGCAAAAGGAGAAGTGAGCATGCTGTTTAGTAACAGGGAATAGGAATTGGCAAGTAGATGTGTGCACAGGGAAAGGTTGTACAGGGATAGGGATGGGACCTTTGTCACAGCGTTTTGACAGGGCCGAGCGGAGCCGATTAAGCCAGCTAGTAATCTATAATGTGCACGTGAATTGTTCAACTTGCACTAATCATTCAAATTAGCCTTGTAAAAACTTCTTCGAGGGCGTGGCAGTAGCACCGTCCCCTCCTTCCCCCTGAAATCATGGAGATTGGACCCGCATATATTGGGGAACCATTCAGAAACAGTTTCGAAGTGCGTGGTTCGGATTGAAGGTGCGTGGCTAACGCCGCCCACCTCCGTCCAAAAAAACCTCTGAGCCCCATCTCTGGGCGAAAACCCTGGCCACTACTACATTCCACTATATTTGATTTCATGACTACAAATGATTGCATGTTTAAAGATCAGTCGTCAGGCACAACAACGGTCAGCCAACTAACAATTTCGCACGGTAGCAATGCGGCACTTTCGGGAAAGAGGGATACGGTGAGATTCTCAGTCCATGACTAGCGAAGAAAGATTGAGTAAATTATGAGCTTCGATTACGATAGACTCTCTTCGATAAAGTTGCCTCTCAAAATACATAAGCTTGAAACAAAACCTTTTACATATTCTGAGTGAAATTTGACTCTCCAAATCCTGGTAATTCGTGATTTTGTACAAGCAAGCAAAGATTGCTTAACGAAAGCGATTTAAGCATTAAGTCATGCATTACTATGGCAAGCTTCAACATTTTATGAAAAGTCAGTAACAATCCTGAATACATTTTTTTACGTAAAATTTCTTATCACTGCCATTTCCTAAAGGAACTAGCGAGCGAAAGGTTATTTTTGATTCAGTCACGTGAAGCCCAGACCTTCCATCTATTTGTGCAAAATGTTGATCAAGGAGATTGAGATCCAAAAGTTAACTGAATTATAGTCAAGAACTTTGGTTTCAACCTAAATATGCTGACCACGACGATTGTCTGCGATTTTTTTTATCGAAATATTTCAAGATGTGCGTCAGCGTAGCGCCCTTGTTTCAAGAAAGACAGATAGACAATATTGAACTTCGCGCAACAATCTTATATGCTGCAAGCTCACATTGGCTTAGACGGGCGAGGGTGGCGCGTGCGTGCGAAGATTGAATCGCAGCCCTTTTTTACTGCGTTAAGCCTGCTGTAATAAATTACGCCAAGATTGGTGAAGTGAGAGCGACTACATAATTGTTGTCTTGTGGCTTTTCTACGCAGAAACTCACTCGTCAAGCTTTCTTTGTTGTAAGACCTGAGCAGATGTTTAGGTGTTAGTAATCATCAACAACTGGCCATGGCGGCGGAGCCTCGGGCTTTTGCAGAGAATCCATGAGCCATATTTTGGATTAACAATTTATTGTGGAACATTTGATGAAAACGGCATAGCAGACGAAGGTTATCATGAGAAAAAGAGATTTACAGATGAAGGAAATCATGCGACTTGAGGGTATCCGGCTACTTTGGAAGCTTTTAGCTTTGTGAACGTGCACCCGGACGAGATAGTGCAGGGTTATCATTTATATTTTTGTTTGACGAAAGTAGCAGAAATGAGATTACGCAACGTTAAAGGTTTGCGATAAAACGACAAATGACATTGGTTGACATTACAGGTTCCAGGTTACTTTGTGACCGCCGATGATTTGGTCTTCAACTTCTGGCACAACATAAACTTGAACTTTGTCTATCATCCGCTTGGCATAGTGAGACGCGTGAACGACTCGACCTGGTATAATGGAACACTAGGTAGTTATTAACACCTTCAAAAAAGCGCCTGTAATATCAGTGGGCGGAGCAGGAGTTCCCAAACCCCACTTTCCCTAACCACTTTTTCTTGCAAGGATTACTTAGGACTCACAAAAAACTCGTTTCAATCCGGATCAGGTCAAAATTGGCTTTGGCTCGAACTCGACCGCGCAATATTAGCGGTGCATGCGCAAAACATCGACAGAGAGATCGAGGACAGAGCTCAGCAGAGGTGGCGCTTTCGCAAGGTGGATTCCGTTTTCGGGAAGAAAGCAAAGAAGAAGCCGTGAAGTTCCCAGGGCTGGTTATCAGAGATCTGCCAAAATAGATATTGGCAGGCCAACTTCACTCTTACAGAAAAGTACTTTCGAAGGCCGTGACCGTTCGATATGAGAAGCTTATCATCTAAAGCAGTCTTGAACGCTGTTTCAAGCCTGCATTCAGTTTCTGCGAAACGCTCTTCACTGGTTGAAGACATTACTGTAAGGTCTGCAGAGAAGTTCGAGTGCGTATCAAGCCCAAATTCAAACTGCAAGTGTCCGCTTTCTGTCGGAACCAAACAGTTGACCTCTCCTCTCTAATGCCACACGCTAACCAACACTACTGCACCACTAACATGCACGGCAGCGTCCGTGTACTAGAAGAACACCCAAAGCCAGGTTTTTAGGTTATCATAGCCCCTTTCATAGGAGCTTTCAGAAACGGAATGCAGATGTGAAATCAGCGTTTAAGACTGCTTCAGATGATATATATCTCATATCATATGGCTAAGGCATGTAGTTAGTAGGCCTAAGAAGCTCTGACTTAATTCGACCATTAACAGGTAACTATCACGCTACAAACATGATGAATGCATAAGCGTGACCTGTGTAGACACGATTTCAACGTGTTAAAACACAATTTTTATGCACTGTAAACGGTCAGCTTGTTTACAGCAAGTGAGCAATAATGAGCAACCAAATTTGGTGTTAGCTTCGCGACGATGATATCAACAGAAATGAAAAATCATGAAAAAGTTATGTAAACTGGAAAAAGCTCTATGTATTAGGTTGTCCGGAAATTAATGCCCGTTTTGAATTTCAACCGCAATAAGTCATACACTCTTCACTTCTAAATAGATAGCAAGGTACCATTCGATAGAGCAAAGCAAGCTCTACAAGATGGCCATCTTGCTTTTGCAACAGCTTTGATCCATCTCGAGTTTCGAGCCAAAAACTAAAAAGACTCAGCAGCCCGAAAAATCGAAAAAAAATCGTAACTCATTTCATAAAAATTCTACAAAAATTCTAATTTGCTCGCTTAAACACTATCCACATAAGACATCAATATACGCCGTTGCCGTACTTTTTTCTCTGTTAGAAACCAAGAAAACGGAAATTTTCGTGCATTTGCCAAAGTGATGCTGTGCTGTCCGCACATAGGTAGTTATATACCGCAAGCTTGTAGAAGTACAGACTTGAATTTTCAGCTTTCCACAAGCTTTAGTTCTCGAGAAATTTGAATTTTAGCTTGGACCACTTGAGCAAGGAAAGCTATATTCGGTATTTCTTGAGAACTAAAGCTTGTAGAGAGCTGGAATAAGTCTGTACTTCTACAGACTTGTGGTATACAACTACCTATGCGGGGACGGCACAGCATCACTTTGGCAAATGCACGAAAATTTCCGTTTTCTCGGTTTCTAACAGAGAAAAAAATACGGCAACGGCGTATATTGATGTCTTATGTGGATAGTGTTTACGCGAGCAAATTAGAATTTTTGTAGGATTTTTATGAACTGAGTTACGATTTTTTTCGATTTTTCGGACTGGTGAGTCTTTTTAGTTTTTGGCTCGAAACTCGAGATGGATCAAAGCTGTTGCAAAAGCAAGATGGCCATCTTGTAGAGCTTGCTTTGCTCTATCGAATGGTACTTTGCAACCCATTTAGAGATGAGAAGTATATGACTTAGCGCGGTTGGAATTTAAAACGGGCATTAATTTCCGGACAACCTAATATTTCTTTATTATAGTTTGCTCCCGCGCAACCTAGGAACACCCTGAGGTTGCGCGGGATCAAACAAATTCGCGGTCTTTCCTTTCCCTGAAATTTTCAAAAGTTTTACGTAAGTCTGACCTTCAGATTAAGAAGCTTTACTAGTTGTTCACCTTCACCCGAGTTCGCCCTTTTTCGCCTATCGTTGTTTAATTTTAATTTTCCGTATCCCCTCTTCACTTTCAACCACTCATGGTTTGCTGCAGATTATTAGCCGTACTTCTAGAAACACCACAAAGTATATTTCGTAATTCTCTGCAATGTAAGGGGGTAAGCAGCCTGCCGCAAAACCACTGCAGTGCGTTCAAACTGGAGACTGTGTAAGGAACACTGCTCCGCCCTCTAGGCGCGCTCACCCTGAATTCTAGAGCCTAGATGGTGAAAACTCCTATAATCTTATTCAAACCAGTGGATGACTGCAGCTATACTAGAAATATTGATCTATTTGATGTTGGTTAAACCTCTAATCTGAAAAAAAACCGGCCCTTTTTTCCCACCTGACTGCTTTTACTCGCAATGTTTGTGAGTCTATATTGTTTGCATTTCAAATCAAGGAAGAAGTTATGCGGCTGGTTTGCCAGTACAAAACTTGGAGAAAAACCAAAACCACCTCTCCAGTCCTCATCTTTTTGGAGTAGATCTCGATAGAATTTTGGATCATTTGGAAATTCAAGTCTGTGGTCGTACTTGCAACTGAATATCGGCATTTTAATGCGGTTCTGAGAAATGCTTAAGTGTTTGTTTTCGGTATATTGGATATGACGAACTAGAGGAAAGATACATGCCAAAATAGCATTTCGAAGCAGATAAAAACTGAATCTTTGGAGTATTGGAGGAAGTTTTAGAAAGAACATCCGAATATTCGAAGATGAAGGTCTAGCGTTGGGACGGTGTAAAATGGTAGATTGAACTGAATAGAACCGAGTACTCGTAACAAAGAATATGAATGTTAAATCACAAACCCAGCTTAGGTTTCTTAGCAGTTCTGTGCATACAATCGTTCAGGCATTCAAATCTGAGACCACCCAGATGACGAGCCTCAAAATTCGATGAATCTTCTACTTTCTTCGCGTGACTAATGTCTTCTCGAAAAATCAATGGTCAATTTCCATTTCAAAGCACTTGAATAACCGAATTTCAATTCAAAAGAGATAACTGAGATAGTATCAATAATTCAACAGTGGGAATACTTTTCTAGATTTGATTATCCAACATTCGTTCGCTTGAGAAAAATTTGGGTCGTTACAATTACGTGAGAAATACCTCTTCATAATTGCCAAACTATGAAATTAGGACAGCCACAATCCATTTCATCCCATCTTTTGCTTCTAAAGGTTGTGCTTTCAGCAACTGTTATTCAAAATAAGGAAGACAAATTAGGAAGTCACTATTGAAAAACTACTAATTCAGGCTATCGGACTTATATTAGGTCATTCCGAAAGTAATTTCGCTTTTTTCAAACGGGCGCCACATTTGATAGAACAAAGGTTTTCAAGAGATCTTGGATGCATTCGATGCAAAATTTCATTCTCTTTCTAACGGTTATGGAATTGTTGCAAAACAGTCGACGAGCTTTCAGAAAATAACCAAAATTTGCGACCCATGCTTTTTGAGATGGTCAAGTTTCACAATTTTTTAAAACTTCATATCAATCTTCAGAAGGAGTTCAAGTAACGATTCGATAGAGTAAACCTTATAGAATACAGAACTGCTTTTTCCCCTTTTCATATCCTGTCATACATTTTTAACAGAATTTTAACTGATGCTACCGATTTTCATACTTGGGCAGCTAAATCCTCGTAGAACATCAATGGATGAGCAGCTAAGGCACTATTCAATGCAGCATTTTCTCCTCTTTCTAACAGGGTTTTTCGTTTTCGATTCGTTTAGTTTCCGGGGATAAATCATCATAACTCATTTTTTTAGCGAACCCCAGGCTGTAAACGAAAAACACGAAGTTTGAAATTTCGAATCCGTAAACCCTCACTTGCTTTGTAAAATTAATGCTAACTCATAGTACCATCTTGGTAGTCTCAAATTCCGAATAATTATGATGTTTGATGCGATTGTGGCCGATGTGGGCCTGCCAAAATCCGATGGTTTTGTTGAAAAATCTTTTTAAAATTACGGCGAATTATGAGAAAGAGACAAAAGTAGTGCCGTATTCTATAAGGTTTACTCTATCGAATCGTTTCTTGAACTCCTTCTGAGGATTGATATGAAAGTTTTAAAAAATCGTGAAACTTGACCATCTCAAAAAGCATGGGTCGCAAATTTTGGTTATTTCCTGAAAGCTCATTGACTGTTTTGCAACAATTTCATAACCATTAGAAAGAGAATGAAATTCTGTATCGAATGCATGCAAGATCTCTAAAACATCTTTGCTCTATCAAATGTGGCGCCCGTTTGAAAAAAGCGAAATTACTTTCGGAATGACCTAATATATTACTTGCTAAAAGCTTTTGGAGGAAGGTAATGGGGTATGGCACAACTCCAGAAAATGTGTGGCTGCTGGCTACTTTTTGGGGTTGTGCCACACTCCATTAACTTACTTCGAAGCATTTAACATCATTTCCCAGAATGTTGATTCATAAGCCCTTTATCTATTCACGATTTCTAGGGATTTCATCCAAATTCAAAGAAAGTATAGCCTATGGCAAATATTGAATTACTTAGTAGTGTGCAATCTGTAAGATTGCAAAAATACAGGGTATCTCAAGAATAAGTACTTTTGTTTGTTAATGACTCTCTTTCAACAGAGTCTTCCACTCAGCTTCAAATACCAAGTAGAGTAGGCTTCAACTTTGATTTACAGTGGTGAACGATTCATCCATCTTTTTTCGTTATATACGATTATGGAAGGAACTTCGAAGAGGGTTTTGAGCCATTAATAGCTACATTTTGCACCAAAATAGCTGATCATTTGAAGCGCTCTAAAAATTTATAAGAAGTTGTCTGACGAAACCAACATGTTTGAAAACACTATGTAGCTTTTCACTTTTTTATACCATTCAAACGCCCTCTTCCACAATGGCGCTATGGTGGAGGTTCCCAGTAATTTTACAATAATTTGAAGAAATGAGCGATTTGTCTTATATTTTGAATCTGAATTAAAACATGCTACACTTATTAGCAGTTAAAGCTAAGCCGGAGACTTTGTGGGAAGAGACGTAAACAGACAGACAGATAGAGACATAAGAGACATAAATACTTAAGTTACAGTCTACTTCGGAAATTGTACCGTAAGTATTTATGTCGTAACGTAACGTAAATATTTATGGACGATGAAAAATATCCAGACTTTTGAAGATCGTCTTTTCAAAAAACAGCCTACTAGCATTATAGCTCTTGAAAGTTCTGTAACCACATGCATCTAGATTATATGAGGTATCGGTCTGAAAGTTCGTGCCGTTATTTGACCCAAGCTCAAACCACTCAGAGTAAGATAGACAAACGCTCCAGACTATGTTCGATGCAGAATTCCTTCCTCTTTTTTCAAAGTTATGTTTTTGTACAAAGTCGTTCGATCCCGCTCAAATAATCGTCAGAATATCCAACCCGTTTCCATCCTGAGTGTGACTATTTTTTAGAATTTGTATTTTCAAGTTTTGGCCTGGCTTTGATGACAGTTGGATAGAAGTGACAGAATGCAATAAAATGAACTTTTGCTCTCTTCAGTTTGCTTTCCAGTATATCTTAAAATAACTTCTCCGAAAGCCTTTCTTAGTCTGAGATACACAACCTCGCGGAACCTCAATAAATCTTCGGAATTTGAGGCCGAAAACAGCTTATGTTTGCGCTGATTTTACCAAGCAAATGAGCTTCAAAGGTTCGAAATTTTGCGTTTTACTGTGTACAGTCTGGGACGCTTTTAAAAAGGAACTATGATGCTTTTGTCTTCAAATTTCATGAAAATCAGGAAGAAAGAAGATTATCAGAAAGGGGAGAAAAAGTGCTTTGAGAACGACACCCTGGTTGCTTGCCTTTCATTGTTCTGTGAGGATTGGGATGCCCAAATATGAATTTGGTAGCATTAGAAAAATATTTTAAAAACTTTGAGGCATCACATTTTGTTTTTGTTGTCCTGTTGCCAAAGCTAGTCCAAAAGTTGAGTATAGAAATTTTGAAAAATTGCCAAACTGGGTGAAAACCATGCGTTGGAGATTCTGACGATTATCTGAGCGGACATCAAAGGAGTTTGAACAAAAACATAATTTAGGAAAGAGGAAGAGATTCTGCATCGACTATCTAGACCGCTTGTCTATCATTATTCTGAGTGATTACAGCATATGTCTGAAAAACGGCACAAACTTTCGGACCGACCTAATATTTTCATCCTTATTTTCTTCTTGAAAATAAGCGATGAAAAAAATGTTTGCCTTGTACGGAACTTCTTGGCGTATCTGTAACACCCCAAATTTTTCTCGAGCAAATGATTATTGGATAATAAGGTCTGTTATCGAATATTCATACACTTTTTTGTTGAAAGATTTCTGATTCGGAAAGAATCCGTGTTCTACAGAAAGCAGCATGCGGAGATTGTAGCTCTTGTAAAGCTCTACTTATTCAGGTTCTATTTCCATCACTGTTTTCGTTTTGAATACGAGCCATAAGAAAGTCGCTCCGCAACGCTTTGGCGGTCACTGTATTCTAGATCGCTCTGTTGCTCAAGTAATGCAATATCAGCATTAGACTTCATTTTTGATTAAATCAAAATGCATTTTCATTTTCTAATTCTTACTTTCACGTATCGAAAAATGGAAAATTTTTGCGATTTTTTTGGATTTTTTTTACTTTTAGATCACTAATCAGTGCACTTAAATAAAGCGAAATAGTAGGTGAGCAAGGTGCGGAGTACGACCTCTGCCTCATATAGACGCTAGAACCCTCCTGGGTGCAAATACTGATGCTGATTATATGCTTGCGGAGTTGATAGGAACTCAGGCGTGCCCTCTGTATCAATGCAGCAGTATTTGCGGACGATCATAGTTTTACTGATTCTTTGCGAGTCATCAATGAGAAAGTTTGATCAAAAGATTCTTGTAGGTGAACCAGCGCTGAAAAGGTTCGTGTATCTGTTGACGAAACGATATGGAAATTTCACGTCAGTGCAAAAAATTCGTAGGGCGTATGAGGAGCAGGCAAGGCATTTGCAACCATTTCCTTTAAGAAGATAGCTGAAAAAGCTCACATTCGTCAGTTACTTTGTTTAGATCCAAATGTATCAGAACACGACAGATGCTCTCGGATACATAGTGGCGAGGAACGGCTATGCCGCTAGCGACTTGTAAGTCCTTTTCACAAAAAATCACCTTTTAAATCTCTCACTTTGCACTAAGCTGGAAAAATTGATTATTTGGTAATTTTGTTTGAGCGCGACGTCGTCAACAAGAAAAAGAGAAAAATAGGTCTCTTTTTTCTTAACTCGTAAAGTTGTGTCATATGTACCGAGTGTCCCAAAAAGATGTGCACACTGTCTGATCGTTAATATCTCTCCTGCTTTCATGTCTTTTGCCGAGCTTAAGGTACCATTCTGTAGAGCGAGGATAAACTTAGATTTTTAAAGCGGAGCGTATCACCAATCACTTTTCGTTACTGTAGGATGACGGTATGAACTTTTTAGTATATAGCGTCACTGTGGAATAGGCCTGTTGATGGGTTAATTTCGAAAAAATCTAAAAATTTGTATAGCAAGGTTTTCAGGCGTCCTGATTTCACTGCATGACTTTCCACCAGTTTTTCGAGCTTTCTTGATGGCGTATAGACATTTCTGACAAAAATGGAAAATCAGTTGTTACCCCAAATTTGAAGTAACTCATGAAAGAAACAATGTAGTGACGTGCAATTTTCAGATTCAGAATCAGCATCTTCAATTTATCCAGTTCAAGAGTTTCTGGCTTGTTTGGTTTTCTTTATAAGGCAAAATACCGCTTTCAATGGCTTAAAATCCTCCTCGAAATTCCCACCGTAATCCTACAGTGTTGAAGAGCTGCTGATAAGTCGCTCCATAATGTGAATCTAAGTTTAACCTCGTAAAGAATGGTACCTCAAGCTCGGCAAAAGACATGAATGCAAGAGAGTTATCAACAATCAAACATTGTGCATATCTTTTTGGGACACCCTGTATATGCATCGCAACATGCGACAAACCAAGAAAAAAATGGACTCTCGCACTTTCAGCAAGCATATTGGGCGTATCGTATCGCATTTTTCAAAAAGTTGAATACTTGTAAAATTTTGGCTCAAGGTGTTACTCAGTGCGGATCACGGATAAAGTACCATTTTATTCAACTGACTTGGCTTCGAAAAACGGGTCTTCGTGCCCTAATTAGGGCTATGTAATAATCAGAGAGCACTCGCACGAGAGAGACGCAAGTGCGTTGGGGCGCGAGCGGCCTTGATTAGGTAACGAAGCCGCGCCCTCCGGAAGCCAAGCCAGTTGAATCAAAGGAGGTTATATTTATCGCCATTAGGCCAAATGAAGGAGTTAAGGTGGGTACAGGTAATCGGGGAAAAATTAAGAACTTGGCCGAAACTTGGTCCAGTTGGGTGCATTGGTGCATTGATTACAAGTGTGATGATCTCTTCATAATTCATACTGCATGACTTCCGTCGAGGCTACAGTAGATTGATGGTAGGTAAGCCAAAGCGACGGAATTAATCTAAACTTGGTACACTTTGATTTTTCTGAGCGTGGACAACGATCATGCTACCGTTTTTTTATAGCGGCCTCATCTAGCTGAGTTTCTGTAGCTTAAGATAGACAGACTAAGATCATAGAATGGATAAATTTCAGCTCGCTGCATGTAATCTACACGTGAATTACGAATATCGCCGTCGTTTAAAAAACCTTTTTTGAGAGGTTACAGCGTGTATAAGCAGCTGGATCATTCCAAGGTTGATTTTGCCTAAAGGGATCCCCAGGATATTGTTACGAAAATATACCGTTTGTTTTCAGTGCAGATCCATGTAAAGGGTTACGGTAGGTATTAGACTATCTAATACTCGCTGATTTGATAAAAGTCGGCCCAGTTCAATCGGGTGCCTAATTATGAATCTGATCGTGCTTTGTTATGTAACATGGGGGCACATACGATGAAAGGGCAAGAATCATAAAGTTGAAGTTTGTTAAATAAAAAAACTCAAAGTCATTTTCTAGCACTAATGCATTGCATTTCCAACGTGCCCATTTTACTTCAAAGCAACATATCAGGAATCGTTTTCCTATTTTTCACTTCTAAATTACTTTTAAAAACCTGTGATTGTCTCAAAAATTACTGGAAATAGTAAGAACTAGCTGGCTTACTCCCCGGCTCCGCCCGGCCCTGTCGAAACACTATAATAACCCTCCCTTTCCCTGTGCACACATCTACTTGTCAATTCCCTATTCCCGCTGTGTTACTAATCAGCATGCTCACTTCCTCTGTGACAACTCTCAACCCCGTAGCTTAAACTTAGCAAAAAATCGATAAAATCGATGAGAGTAACGGATGATTCTAAAATCTAATAGTGTATTCGTAGCCAGATGCTCGATTACCCCTCTGTGCCAACTCCCAACCTCGTAGGTCAAGCTTTGCAAAAATCGATAAAATCGAGAATTAATGTCTGCTGCGTAATCTCTACTGCTGCCAAGGCCTGCTTCAGCTGCAGGTCCCGCGTAGAATCAGTTAATTCTGTGCGCCTTTTGCAGCTGAACGAAGCTGAACAATATATTCGCTTACTCTGGCACCTACCTATGCGTGCTCTGGCCTTGCAGTTCGAAATTGCTGTGCGGGCGGGCAGCATTCGAGAATACCGTGAGATTTGGGCCACTTTCGAAGCAAATTTCAGGCTTGGTAGACCCTCTTTTTCGCTCCAAACTTCAGTCATCGCTTAGGTAGGGGTTCTACTGCAACATCGCCACAAAAGCCCGGCAACCATCTTTTTACCGGGGACGCTGCCTTTGAGGGCACCGTCCACCCAAATTCATTTCCATGTTTTTGTCGCTTTTAGGCTTCCTCAAGGCTCTGGTTCCAAATCTGAAGTTAAGAATCCGCGAAGCCTCCAAAAATCCTCGTTTTAAAGAACCCGCTGCTATAAGCGCGGGCGAGGGAAAGCCAAAGTGAGCGGGTGACCACATGGGTGAAGACCACCTCCGGATTTTTCGCTCCGGAAACAATCTTTTGCGCAGCTTAGGGTCTGCCTAGTTTGGGGCCCACACTAGTATGTCATCACAATCTCAACACGCTCCAATTTGAGTGGACGGTGCCTTCAAACGGCTTCAACAGATTCAAAGACATGCATAACGTTTAACATGTCTTGACAAGTGAGATTTGGTTCCGAGCATTTATCACTCCAAAGCAGCCTCATAAGGTGCTTTGTGGCTTAGTGTCTAAAAGTATGCATCATGCGGAGCTGTCACCGTTCGAAAACCGAATCAATCGCAATGATCGCATAATAGGTGAGAGCCCGGCAAAGCGGTTTAACTTGACCCGAGCCACACTAGCTCTCATCACTTCTAGCGATACAGAAGGTGTTCTTGCATACTTGATTTCGTAAAAGAATTTTTCTCATAAGGGAGGTCCGTTTGATCGGAGTGGCCCCTTCACATGAAATTGAGACGACTATAGAGAGCATCGAACGCTGATCCCAAATCTGTCTTCATTATCTGCATCTGGACATCGAGCTATAGGGGTTTTTGAGTGAAAATTTGAATGAATAATTAGGACAAAATTTGTTAGAATTGCTCAAATGGGTCAATGTAGATTATCAGAGCACTCCATTTGTATGATACCTTCGTCCAAAACAGTCATACTCAATACTGCTCTATTTGACGCTGTAAAGACCGTAACATTTGATTTCACCTATAATGTGTGTTTATTTTTTTGCACCAAGAAACTATTCATAAGTCGGCATGGAGAGGCGCTAAGCAGATAATGAAATTGGATTTGGAATCACCGTTTGATGCCCTTCTAAGTGATATGAGACTCATTTGAAAGGGCCACTTCGACTAATCGGACCTCCCTTGTCAGTGATATTCAAGAACTTGCAGTCTGCTACTTATTAGTAACGTATAAAGCTCGGAATATCTACTGTTGGAGAGGCACGTCAACGTTATGAAAAGGGCCATAATTTCCACAAAAAACGCATTTTTGTGAAAAAGCACAATCAACATGGAAGACTTGCAGCTTCTACATCCCAACGACACAGATTGACTTCTTCGCTGATCTGATGCAAATATTCTTCGAAGCGGGAGTATTCAAAGGCATAGCCGTACTCAAATTTCTCGCTGCCGTTGAGCACATTGTGTAAGTACCACGATGAGTTGGAACTATCAATATGTATGACCAATCGCCACGCGTTCGATGGAGTACCATTCATTCTTTGAATAATGAGGGAAGGATGCCAGTTTGATCAGGCAAAAGGGAAAAATATATAAAGATTGTTCCAAAAGTAAGTACACATTTTCAATCGACAATAACTCTTCTACCACAGAGTCTTTTGCTTAGCTTCATGGATGTTCAGTAGAGCAGGCTTCAACTTAGATTTACAACAGAGAGTGAATCACTCAGCTCTTCTCATTACTGTAGGATTACAGTAGGAACATTGAAGAAGGTTTTGAGCCATTAACGGCTACATTTTGCCATTTTGCCGTTTGCCCATTTTGCCCTGCATTTTGTAGAATGGATACTCAACAAACCGAAAACCTCATCATTAGGCCAAACTGAGTCGCTGATTATAGAAATGATTCACACTCACCGTAAAAAGTTTTTTCCATCAGATATGCCATGTACCGCAGCAACGTTTTTTCAGTGTTCCTTAAAAATGCGATAAAAACCGTTTAAAACGCTTAAAAAACATGTAAAAATTGTTTGAGGAAATCAGCATATCTGTCACCTCTACACAACTTCTCGGAATTTTTTGAAATTTTTTCTTAAACGGCCTATTTCATAATGGCGCCGTATGCTGAGATTTCCTACCGTAATCCCACAGTAATCGAGAGCGATGAGGAACTTGCTTTCTACTGTAAATCTATGTTAAAGCCTGCTCTACCGAATGGTACTTCAATTTAGGCCAAAGGCTTTGTGGCAAAAGAGTATATAAAAATATAAAATATATAATAAAATATAAAATATATACAGGGTGTCCCAAATATAAGTACACATCTTTTGGTATAGACCAAAAGATGTGTACTTATATTTGGGACACCCTGTATATATTTAGACGCTTCTTCAAACGCTAATTTCAAATCTGCTTTCCTTTTGTGCAAAACAACTCTTCGAAAGAAGTTATGAGCGCTTGAATGTCTAAATTTGTTAGGCTTTGAGGGCAGCGTCCCGGCCATTTTTTGCATTTCCAACTTTCTTCATTTTTAGGCCTTTTCGATATGCAGAACCCAAATCTGGGCTTAGAACGGGGGTAAAAAGAACGCTTTTGGGGCGTTTACCCTTCAAATTGTAGCTCGCATCCCCGCACGAAGACCCTGCTGTCTGCAGTATTTGCTTGGGATAGCACGCACAATGCGGGAGCGATCGCGGAATCCCGCGCCGAACAGGTAAGCAAAGCCGTTTGAGCTGGGCATGGAGGCTAGTGGGGTGAACAAAGACCCCACCACAGCTATATCCTCTAGGGCACGAATCTGCCAGGACACTGCCTTTAAATGGCATAAAATTGGCGCATTTGTGCAAAAACACGTATGTTTTTCACTGTATCCTTCCTTGCAGTCAGTATACGTTTCTCACTGTACGATGTTTTTGCACAGTTTCGCCAATTTTACGCCACTTAAGAGTTGACAAAAGTAGACTTTTGAATGCTCGTTTTTTTTTCAGAGAGTTCAAGCTCAATGGAAAGCAGATTTGGAATCAGCGTTTGGACGCGTTTAAAGATATAACTACACCTCTTTTTGGTTTGCCAGATAAAGTTGGTATCTCCTTCTTTTGTAAAAGAGACAAACACGCTTTGCATGTCTGGTTAAGAAGTTAATGAGTGTTTCGACGCGTTTTGGTAAACTACCAGTAGGAATCGAACTTCGGTTATCAACGAGCTCAGACATTCTTTCAAGAACGTAAGTAAATCAACGAAAAGGCGTTGAAACTCACTTACGAATTTGTATCAAACTTATGCAAAGCGTGCTCTGTCTCTTAGTTGGAGAATGAGTGATACATAGCACAATATTCGTAGCTAAGTTAACAATGCAAAACAGCGCAAGCTTTTTACATCATTGTTTTTATAATTCAAAGTGAATAGACACTCAAAACGCCTTTTCACCATACGCTAATCACTTGCCTCTTATACAGATATACAGACCAACACATGATTTCAGGCCACCGCGGACAAAAGTAAAGCTCATTCCACGTAGAAACCTGAGCGATTTCTCATACTTCTATCATAGAGATCTCATCATGTTGCATCCACTGAAACAAAGTTACTTGAGAGATGCCAGTTTCAAACAAAGGTATTTTGTAGAGTCAAAGAACTCTTAATTTTTTACAGGCATTCTAGGTACTGCACCTCAGTGATACGAACATTCAGAGAGATGCTTCTGACAGTACCATGATCAACTTCTCGATTCTAAACCTTTGTAAAGCGCCTAATTTGGACTTAATATCTTGTGTATAACTAGTTTAATGAAGTGTATCAAGAATGTTCTTGATGTGACTTTCCAAACCAGTTACAGTCGTCACTTCAGTGCTGGTTATTTGGCAAAATGAGCAGCAGATACAACCAGAGCCCGGCACAGATCGTTTAGGAGTAGACTGGACTTCGTTTTCGGGTGAAAAAGCAAAAGAAATATAGTTCATGGGTCCGAAAAAGGTATATAATACAGATTAGGTTAGGGATTTTTAAACATTTTCGAAAAGGGCCAAGAAGAGTTCGTAAAATTTTGCGGATAGAAACGGAGTTGGACGGGCCCTGTATATAGCTTCAGCGGCATCAGAAGCACTCTGATATAGCACTGCGTCCGTCACCTGTGCTTCGAAGAGGCTCGTACTGGCTCCTATGTATCTATAAGAATATATGAGGAAAACAACGATACATCTCTATGCAGAAAACTTCTCAGCTTAGGAAAACCCTGCCCAACCCAACACTTACACAATCAATTCTTATTGCGCCCTTTTCGTAAAGTAACAAACTTTTGGTCACTTTTTCGAGCTAAGATTTATGACTAGGGCGAGCAAGGGGTGTGGCACACAAGCGCCGGATGCGACCCCCACCTATCTCATGTCTCAACACCCCCTCCCTCATTTTCTTCTACATAGGCATGACATAAAGGCTCTACCATGCATAATTAGGCACATATTCATAATCATCATGTCAAATAACCACCATGGGCCAGGTTCTAGGAATCTCTGAAGGTTCCCAATATTGGAACACCCAAGCGAAGTGAACATTTTCGAAGATGATTGACTACAGTTAAAAAGTGAATTAGCTAAATCTTTTTGTACTCAATACAATGCACTTCCTATCCCATACTATGTCCTGAAATAACCATCAAACTATGGGATTAGAAGCAGGCCAAAATCTCGTTTGTCCCATTTTTCGCTTCCATTGGCAGCGCTTTCACCAGGTTTTACTCAGAGCGAAGAATGTGAATCAGGTCTAAATTACTCCTATGAAAATTACAAACGCACGCTAGCAAACTATATGTATTTTGTTCGTTAAAATTCTCTTTGGAGGCAAGTCAATGGGGTGTGGCACAACCCCTAAAAAGCTGTGGGGGCTACAGCTTTCTATGGATTGTGCCACCCCATTAACTTACCTCCAAAGTATTTAAATCTCTGCCTTTTTATATGATTGCTACTGCTAAACCTTCTTCTCCACATAGCAGAAATTTCATTCAAAGTGGTTTTTCCTAGGGAAAGACATAATCGTTTTTCCTTAGCTATGCAAATGTGAGACTGCCTTAAGTATTCTAACTAAAGCCCCAACATGTTTTAGTATCTTTTACCTTATTCCCCAGCAATCCCCAATTTCTTTCGATTTCTAAAAAAAATTCTAAAGGTTTGGTCCGGCACTTACATGGTAATAGGTGACTTAATGCATTCGCCTTGACCAACAAAAACTTAAATCATAAGTTGTGCAATATATTGCACGCCGATATTTTGCAATGTAACCTGTTTATTGATTAGGTGAGATTCTCTGGAAATTTGAGTAGCCTCACCTACGAAACTTCACCCCGCCGTACCGGGCCCCCATCAACCCCGCCCTTCGGTCGAAGTATCTCTCCCCTCTCGCCGTCCCCTTAGCTCCGCCCAATCTCAAGTCATGGCGTAGTTTACCGCGTTTTCTAGAAATCGCTTCAGAATGATTCTAAAATTCTGGGTCGGTTTGAAACCCCGACTTCAAAGTTCTGCGTTAACTCAGAAACTAGTGAAACAGTAAAGGTGCTAGACTGCATCCGCGCGCTTCGAGACCGCACCCCGGTTTCCCGCTATCTGATGTATTTGAATGCAATATATTGCACGCCGATACAGTATTTTGCAATGTAACCTGTTCATTGATTAGGTGAGATTCTCTGGAGAATTGAATAGCCTCACCTACAGGAGGTCACAGTAGTCGCAGTCCCTCCAGGGTGAAGGGTGTTTCAGTTGGTCGAAAAATCATAAAATGCCGACAGGGGGGGGGGAAGGTGATGGTGATGGTGTTTTCTTATTTTCCAAATCAAAGTTTATCATTTTAAATTCTCTGCCATCATTGGTTGTCTTTTTACCAAAATTTGAAGACTGATAGGATTGGAACAACCCTATATGTTTTTAAAAATACCATAGAAGATGTATATGCGAGAACATCTGTTTCGGGAAAGAGGTAGACAATTTTCAAGCATTTACGAATTTTTAAAAGAAGAAATCCGTAACACTGTAGATGAACGGCAACGTTAGCAATGAAAAGGTTTTTATAACCATCTTGTCTTCCGCTTTGAGAGAAAATATAGCTTGCCTGGAGTCTGTTGAAAAAGTGCTTGGTGAAGAGTGTGGGTAGTGATTTCCTAATATTGAAGAGTTTTTAGGTTAGAAAAATCCCTAACTTCTGTAGATAAACATCTTATACGCCGTGATGGTCACCATTGGAACCGTCTCATCCTCCGCTTTCAGAAAATATATACTTTGCCTAGGGTCCTTCAGAAAAAGTGCCGGGTGAAGGGTGGGTGAGACTTTTATAATGGGAAGAGCTCAAGTACAGGCTTTTTACCATTGTAAAAAGACGTCTACTTGAGCACTCTCATTATAAAAGTCTCACCCACCCTTCACCCGGCACTTTTTCTAATGGACCCCAGGCAAAGTATATATTTTCTGGAACCGGAGGACGAGGCGCTTCTAATGGTGACCATCTCGGCGTACAAGATGTTCGTCAGCAGAAGTTATGAATTTTCTTATGTTAAAAACTCGAAAATCTTCAAAAATCGCTAGGCACCACCCAGGCACTTTTTTCAACGTACTCCTCCTTTCCTATACAAAAACAATTTACGTACAAATATCTTCTTTGCTTAACCTTACCTCACTGTTGATTATTTTTCTCGGCTTTTGGTGAAGGGGGTCACCTTGGTCCCGGCTCAGGGGTGAAGGGAGGGCGAGAAAATTCTCACACTATCGCACCTGTGCCTCGGGCGAAGTATCTCCCTCCCCCCCCCCCTCTCCCCGTCCCCTTAGCTCAGCCCACTCTCAAGTCACGGCGTAGTTTACCGCGTTTTCTAGAAATCGCTCCAGAATGATTCTAAAATTCGGGGTCGGTTCGAAACCCCAACTTCAAAGTTCTGCGTTAATTTAGAAGCTAGTGAAACAGTAAAGGTGCTAGACTGCATCCGCGCGCTTCGGGACCGCACCCCGGTTTCCCGCTATCTGATGTATTTGAATTGGCACGATTTTCTTTATGTATTAGACTAGACTTGATGACTCTGAGTTTTTGTAATATCTTGTGTGTTGTCTAGTCATGCAACCTGGACATTGTCTTGTATTCATGGACTTTGTTGTCACGCCGGTTTGTTAGGATATTTTAGGTCTAAAGTTTCGGCAATAATGCCTTCTTCAAAGACCTGAAAGAAAGTCTCAGACTTGAAAGAAAGTCTCACACTAGTTTTTTTGCCCTATATGATCAAATCTCTCCTCTTGACTAGTTTAGTTCGACGCCTTAGGAGCAAACAAGCGGAGACATTACACGACAAGTGGCATACCAAGAACTCCACCGACAGCGCAACGACGACGTTCAAACTCCACTGGTGGTAAAAGGCTATAGCTGACCGATATGGGCAGCTTAACAGAAATGGCATTGAGTCACTTGTAACGGAGAGCTGTTCATTCTTCCCGTTCAGTTTCGGTGCGCGCGAGAAAATGTATGCCTGCCTGCTTGCTTTGCTCTATCGAAAACTACCTGAAACTTCTGCAGCCCACCTAAATTATAAAAAGAATGTGACCCATAGTGCTAAAGATCAAGACCAATAAATTTCATGGAAAACCTGATATGTTTATTATGTCTTTATAGAAACCAAAATCTGTTCAGTTCTCTGCTGTAAGAGAGCCAGACATGAAAGGATGTTATATTATCAGTATTAGAAGACTATGTCTTTGAAACAATTCCCAGGCTAGGCGGATACGGGAAAATGCGCGTTGCTAACTTTTGCCACATCGCTCGAAAGACTGTTGGCATGCATTTTTCGAGACGGAATTACTTTTATCGCAATTTTTCGCAAATAAATTAATGCTTTCTGAGCTCGCGATCCTCCTTGCGAATGACGTTTGAAGCACGTGGTTCCAGTTATAGCATTAGTTGGGAAAAAACGAAAATTCTAAGTCTTTCTTCTGAACTGGCATCAGAACCTTCAAACAGCTGCTGTTGTATGTTTGCTGTTCTCAGCATTATCATAACTACATAGCACAATAGTGTTTGGGGTAGAGGCGGTCCTTATCAAGGGGTGCCAGCCCTACGCCAGTGTTGTCTTCTGTAGCTCACAAAGATCAGCTGCACCTAACATTTCGATCTGATGAATATTCAAAACCACTGAACCACCTTCAAGGGATATAATATCCCACACCGCACAGTCTTCAATTTTCGCGTATATGATTGAGGAGCGTAAAAGACATTTGAGCAGCTCTCTAGAGGAGATTTTTTTGGAAGTTTCCTTCTAGTTTAATGACATCGACTTCTGCTCAATTTTAGACAAGTAGTAAATTTTTGAGAATGTCAATCTGTAAAATGAATCTGCATCAAATCCTCCATGTCCCATCTTCACCACATGCCCACAAAATATTAAAATGAACCGTTTTTGGATACCCCGTGTTACAGGGCGCATCTTCATTTTAGCTTATCGGAGGCGAATGCCTTTGAATCTGCTTGAAGCCTCTGCCTGCGCATCAGGCAGAGCCGGCACACTTCTAGGACATGATAAGATCCTGATATAGAGATTCTAGGGAGAACTATTTTTAGAGTAAATAGCATGTACGACTCTCGATAAATCTCGGCATCTTATATATAAAGCTGAATGTCTGTTTGTATGTATGTATGTATGTATGTATGTATGTCTGTATGTCTGTCTGTGTGTACGTATGTTCCGAATAGAAAATTCCATTTCTGAACCGATCCGGACCAAACTTGGCACACATACACTTCGGGCCCCGGCGGGTGTCATAGGCTACTTTTCGTCATCGATCGATATCGATTTTATCGATTTTTATCGATTTTTTTGCTGAGTTCACCTACGGGGCTGGGAGTTGGCACAGGGGGGTAATCGAGCATGGGGATTCCGAATACAATATTGGTTTTCAGGATTATCGATTACTTTTATCGATTTTATCGATTTTTTTGCAAAGTTTGAGCTACGGGGCTGGGAGTTGGCACAGGGGGGTAATCGAGCATGGGGATTCCGAATACAATATTGGTTTTCAGGATTATCGATTACTTTTATCGATTTTATCGATTTTTTGCAAAGTTTGAGCTACGGGGCTGGGAGTTCGCACAGGGGGGTAATCGAGCATGGGGATTCCGAATACAATATTGGTTTTCAGGGTTATCGATTACTTTTATCGATTTTATCGATTTTTTTGCAAAGTTTGAGCTAGGGGGCTGGGAGTTGGCACAGGGGGGTAATCGAGCATGCTGATCATCCCCAAGGGGGGTGATCAGCATGCTCGAACACCCCTGTGCCAAATTCCAGCCCCCTAGCTCAAATTTTCAAAAAATCGATAAAATCGATAAAAGTAATGGACGATCTTGAAAACTAATATTGTATTCGTAATCTGCATGCTCGATTACCCTCTGTGCAAACTCCCAGCCCCGCAGGTCAAACTTTGCAAAAAGATCGATAAAATCGATAAAAGTAATGGACGATCCTGAAAACTAATATTGTATTCGGAATCCCCATGCTCACTTCCCCCCTGTGCCAACTCCTAGCCCTGTAGGTGAACTCTGCCAAAAAATCGATAAAATCAATAAAAGCAATCGATAATTCTGAAAACTAATATTGTATTCGGAATCCCCATGCTCACTTCCCCCCTGTGCCAACTCCTAGCCCTGAAGGTGAACTCTGCCAAAAAATCGATAAAAATCGGTAAAATCGACATCGATCGATAACGAAAAGTGGACTGTGACACCCGCCGGGGCCCGAAGTGTATGTGTGCCAAGTTTGGTCCGGATACGGCGGAGCCGGGTAAGCCAGCTAGTAGTTTATAAGTTGAGATTGATGCCTTGTAGCCAACGCCGAGATTGTTACAAACTTTATTGGCCAACGTTTCGGCTTCTCGCCCTGAAAAGATATTAGCACGTGAACCTAAGACGGCTGCTCGCAAATTTCTAGAAGCATTGTGGATTCATGCTAGGAACCCACAAATTGACCGTGAAGAAGAATGCCTCGCAATCACGAGAGAACTATCTCCTTGTCTGAGCCAACTATGCTGACCTTCCATTTAGTACTTCATACGGTCAGCCCAGCGGTCGTTCTACCAAGGGAATTGTTTGTGTGGTGAGTTACTGTTGCAAAGCTACTGGCCAAAATTAAGGCTTAGACCTTTTTCGTAAGGCCGTAAAGACATTTGCCCGTCTGGGTTACGAATCGATATCCCATTCAGGCCCTGACGAAGGCCAGAAGCCGAAACGTTGACCATTAAAGTTTGTAACATCTCGGCGTTGGCTACAAGACATCAATCTCAACTTATTTTTAGAATTTCGAAACCAATTCTTGCAGTGTATCTAAAGAAAGGAAAGCGCAAAAAAATGGAACAATTGATGCACAAATGATGTCGCGGAGACGCCAAAGAAGTCTAGAGGAAAAACTAGAGCTGTGCCGCGTAAAAACGGCAAAGAAAAACATCCATCTGGCGCAGGGTTAAGCAAGGGGTGTAACACACGATTGCTGGTTACGACCCCCCCCCCCCTCTGATTGCTGTCTTAATAAGACCCCCCCCCCCCTGAACTATATACCTAAGATACATTACAGAGTTGAGAAAGAGGTCAGCCACAAGTCTTTCGAAACCCCCCCCCCCTCCCATGAAAGCCCTCAAACGACATCTTCTTCCTCCTCTTAACCTCTAGACCTCAACGTGTGACATTCTGGAGGACACCATCTTTTTCTAGAGAGTTTTCAGATTTCTGAGAGCTGTACGCCCGATTTTCTGTGACTGCACTTTACAATCACACGTAATTTGACGGCTGATTTTGATCTGAATGGGCATATTGAAAGGGCCATAATTTTCTTATGGGTGGGGGTTCAGCTCCAAATTTCCAATGTAGCAAGAAGAAGCTATGTGCTCAATACTCACACCAGCAGTGGAGCGCTTTCTGGATTTTAAAGGCAAGTTAAGGGGGTGCGGCACACCCCCTTTAAAGCTGCGGCAGCCGCAGCTTTTAAGGGGGTGTGCCGCACCCCATTTACTATATTAAAAAAACATTTTTAGCGGATATTTATATGAATAGATAGTCTAAACCTTGTAGATTCCATAGGACTGTTTGGAGCCTGATTTGTCTTCTTAGCTCTAAGTAATATTTGGTGAAAGCACAGCGATCAAAAGCGAAAAATAGGAAAAACGAGATTTTGGTTGGCTTCTAATTCCACAGTTTGCAGGTCTTCTGAAGCGGGAAAAGAGTCTTCCTGAAATGGACAAAGAAGGAGTAGTGCTTTGTCTTGAGTGCAAAAACGGATAGCTAATTCACCTTTGAAACAAAGTTAACCATGTTGGAATTTGAACATTTCATTTAGGAAGCCTAGTATCTTGAATCTTTAAAATTCGCTCACACTTTGTCTACAGGGGTTAACTGACATGCTAATTATGGATATGATACGAATATCATGTTATCACTATTATCAAATTACCCAACTACGACCCCCTCCCCTTTTGACTCCTCAATACGACCCCCCAGGTGTGGCGTGCCGCACTCCACGCTTGACCCTGATCTGGCGACTTGCTCGATCACCTTTGAACTCCGAGTCAACATGTTATTCATTTTCGTACAAGTCGACATGTTTTCTATTATGGTAGTCACTATTGGCATTGCAGCTGGCTTACGATTCTTGCTCGGCTGCTTGATATTCACTCTCTATTATGCCTGAAAAATCCTAATAGAAGTAATACAATTTTCTTTCTCAGTTTCTTCTTTTTGTGGCTACCTCTCTATATGTGTAGTGCTGTCCGCAGTCTCATTCGTTGTCACACTTTATATGGCGTGTGATGCGATTGTTGCTTGAAGGAAAAGCGCACATAATCACCTCAAAACGTTTGCATTTGGTTTTGTGGTACTTTTCTTCCATGAAGAGTCTTAATTCCTGTGACTAATTAACTGTTCGTATATCAACCTCCTGGTACATAAGTGAAGAAGAAGGTATTGAAATACTCTGCATTGTATTTGATGAAAATTTTACTTAATTTCGATTTAGAAAGCATTTATACTGCAGGAAATGCACTTTTTTCCAAAGCGAAAACTCTGCAAGCAAACTGTGGTCTCGCTGGTAGTATAATCGGAACCCTTTGAGGCTTAGTATTGAAATAAGGTACTTTACCGTTATCCGGCTGAACAGGCTTGTAATTACTGAAAACTATTTCGTTAGAAATGTTAAACAATTTCCGCTTTCATCAAAAAACTAAAAAAATCAAAAATATGCGATTCCACGCATGTGTTCAATGATTAGACGCTTCTTTTTCATTGACTATTATGTGTGGGTTCCTTCGGCGCTCTAGAAAAAATCGAGTTTATTGCAACAAGACCTATTGCGCAAAGGATTACACATGCGAACATAAGCTGTGAATAAATAGAATTACTTTTGAAAGTAGTATTATGTTATCCTTGCATTTTAGAGTTGTTAATTTCATTCAACCATAGCTCATGCCTTTGACTTATATAATGATTCCAAAGATCAGCTTTAGCTGCACGCTGTTTTTGTAAAGTTACATTTGTACAACCGCTTTTGCATGCTAAGGCTCGAGTTTTTGAAGTTTAGGTTTTATAATTGGAGATCAAAGTTACATTAACTTAATCTGATATGAAGAAGGTAGAAGTATCTACTTGATTGTATAAACTATATTTGCTGTCCGCTCTGAGGCGTTGTTGTGGAGTCGATCAAAGCCAAGAGAATCTGCTCCGCACTGCAAGACTATAGCCTCCGGTTGGAAGCTTTCCACCAATTGTCCTATAATTAGGCGAAACACTGAAAGATAGTCTGTATGATTTATTTCACTCTTTGAAAAATCCAGTGAGCTACCATCATCGTCAATACCCTGCTGTAAAGGCACATTCACAGCAAAGTAACGTCTTGCACCCAATCCCTGATCATAAATGCTCCCCGTTTCAGGAAAAAACAGGCTTCCATATTTGAGAAATGAAACTGCCATCACCTGCAAAACTCCCGTTCTTCTATGAAGTTGGACGTAACGTTGAGACTGAAGCTTACAGATCTGTGAAGCAAAACGCTTCTTGGACTCCGTCTCTATGATGAATGTCAATGTGTCCACATGAAGTACCCTGAAAGAGAACAAGCGTACGCATGCGCGTCGTTTTCCGCAAGGATAGCTTACCATTTGTAGTATTTGAGCAATTCCAAATGGCGATAACGATATCGTTCACATAACAAAACCCACTTGCTTCAGCCTCCAAAAAATTTGATCACTGGATGCTACAAGCTCAAAAGTTAGCAAACGGGGCTCAAAAAGGACATATTGCCTCACTTTTTCGAAATCCTTCGGCATAACTGATAACAGTGTTAAAAACTTTACGATTCAATCGCTGGACACCTTCCAAGGATTCTCCAGTGTAAATCGAACAGAATCCGAAAATCCCTTCGAAAATAGGACTAAAACGAAAAAGCGAGGTCACTTCGATTCAGCCGAGATTTTGATAAAAGTAAGATTTGAACGTACCAATCCTCGCCAGCACGTGTGTAAAGATAATGCGCATAACGTATAGTTCTTACTGACCTGTTAAACTGCTTATGCAGAAAGATGAAGACGTATAAAAGGTAGTCAGGTGGTGGACACGATCATGCACTCATGTGTAAGGAACTGTAAAGTTCGTTCATTTTATTAGGGTGATCCAAAAGTAATGGGGCACCTTGATTTTTTTACATTCTTCAAGGATTTCTTTCTGATTAGCTATGAATGCCCAGCATTTTTAACGCCTTTGGGTAAAGTGACCTTCGCAGGTTATCTTAACAGCGCCTTGCAGCATCTCACCGACATTTCTTCGAGTGGCGCTTCAAAGAAGTCAGACAGACTTTTTCGAACGCCATCCGAATTTGGGCTGCTGCACTTGATAGTCCCTGGACATATGGCATACCATTCGAAAGAGCTTTCCAAGCTCTTTTTAATGCTTACTTGAGTATCCAAAAATTGCCCATTATTTTATACAAAAAAGGCACTTTATTCGAAAAAGAGCGGTGTTGGGCGCAGATTTTCAGACTAAAATTCATGTTTTGGACCACAATCTTTTGAAAATGAGAAAAGTCGAAGTAATTTGCTTATGTATGGATAGAGCGTAAAAAGCACTACCAGAAAGCAACTGCTAAGTTTGGGCTTATTTGATTACCTTAATGAAAGAATAGGTAATATGTCTCCTCATACCCAATGCTTTATCTTCTGTTCTAAAGCCTTGGGACCACCGAGCTATTGTGGATTTGGTGACAGTCCCCTCACCCGTTACTGCGCACATATCTTTGGTAGGCTCACTTGTTTTACTGCGGCGCTGCTGCGCAAAGTTCAAAATTACTTGAAGTGGTGAGCTTTAATTTTAAGCGCTTATAAAAATAACGCCACGTGACAGCGCCCAACTATAGACCTCGATCAGAAGGTTTTGTTGTGTACTAACATCTACCAGAACTTGGACTTCCAATTAGTTTTTCTATTTGAGAAAACTGCATTTATTGTCTAGCTGCCCCATTACTTTTGGATCATACATGATAATACATGATAATCAAATAGTAATAGGTTAGTGAAGACGAAGTAGGTTATTGCAGAATTGATTTGAAGAAAGGTCAGTTAGACATCAGCACAATTCACATAAATCTAATCTAAAGTTCCTCGTAGTGAGATGTGAGAATGCACTGCGAGCTTTATAACTCACGCGCTTATGGTGGGTGAGAGTTGATATAAAACGCACGCTAAAATGAACAGGTGCAAGGGGAAGACTACTCTACATGTAACTTTACTTCCTTACATTCATACTACTCCTTCAGAGTTGTTCATCCAAACGTGCAGAACTAAGTTATAGCGAAAATTTGGTTTATTGTTAGGGGAAAGGCTTGTTGGTATAATTAGAAAAACAATATCAACGTACTAGTAATATAATTTTGGAAGTAGTTTATTGAAAGCATCATTATTGATAAACTATTCGACAAGCGGCCAAGTTTTTAAAAGGGATTCCAAAGCTTCATAATGCTATAAATGCAATTTTATATTATTGCATTATGTATACGAGTCGCCAGCTGGTAACAGTGAGCGAGAAGACTATAAAACGGACCAACGTGTTTTCTCATTAACCTAAATTTTGTAATTACTAACAAATGATCAACTCCATTAGCTAATCAAATACATACCTGGCGTAAAACAGACCCCGGTATAGGGTTCTTTCATACAAATCAAATTCCGCATTTGAAAGCCTTCGGACTCTGGGAGCTGGTGTGGCGCAATCCTCGGTGCGGTTACCTCCAGTTGTGGTTTAGAACTTTACTTCTTTATGAGTTGCAAGTGAATTTGAGTTATCTTAAGCCTACATTGTGAGTTCCTCGATAAACCTCAAGAAAGTACCTTGGGTAACCGCGGCCTAGGAGGTTGACTTGCATTTTCTGTAGATAATAAGACTGATTTTCAACAAAATCTTCAAACCGTTATACCTTCATTTATGAATCTATTTACATGGAAAAAACAATAAGAAAAAGAAACTGTTAGACTGCAGCCGACTCGTCTCATTCACCTTACAATAATGGCAACATTGCAGAAGTAATACCTAAAATACAAGCGCCATTAGTGCAAAAACAGGCGTAAAGATCATGCACTACGCTGCAATTGCACATCAAAACATTTTATCGTATAGCCAGACTTCATTCGACTCTAAGCGTTGTGTAGATTTAGCCTACACATGCTATTGTGCAATTTTCCGTCTCAAACTTCAAAGTGCACTAAGCCTATTTCTCTTCAACGCTTTGTGCAGATATTGATGTTGAATGTCATTCAAAGACCTTCTCAAAAGGTACCAACTGATGGTGACAAGCCAAGTGTTTGTAAGTTTTTAAAGTAATATATAGGAAGAATGGTGATTTCCTTACTGTATTTTGGCCATGACACGCGTATGATAGGGAATGGAACTTTTTTACCTGAAGAATGTTGTAGCAGTATTGGTTGGGGTCATGAACCGTCAGTATTACTATTAGCGCCCAATTTGCACTTCACCTGTTTCTTGTCCTCAGTAACCATGCCCTCTTCTCGCAATGCATGAAACCGGAATTTTATGAAAACTTTTTGAATAAAGGTTCAGATGAGATTTTGTTTAGTTGCGATAAAAATTGGCATTTAGAGGGGTTCTCTATTACGTTGCTTCCGAATATGCTAATAATTTTTCTTGAGATCTCGAGTTTATTTCTAAAGATTTTTTCATTACATTTTAGTGCAAATTTGGAAATATTACGAGTTTTTGTCATGGCCGCTAATATGCTATGTTCCACTGGAAATTTCTGGATGCTTTTCTTTTGAAATCATGAACTTTTTTACCAACTCAAATCAAGTTTCGCGCGAATCACTTTTGTTGAAGATAGACCAGGCGATTTCGAAAATTTACTTTATTAAGTGCATGAGTAAACATAAGGAAGGATACATGTGATATCCCATGACACGCGAATGATAGGGAATGGAACTTTTTAACCCGAAGATGTTGTAGCAATATTGGTTGGGGTCATGAACTATCAGTATTACTATTGGCGCCCAATTTGCACTTCACCCTTTCTTGCCCTCTAACCGTGCCCTCTTCTCGCAATGCATGAAACCGGAATTTTATGAAAACTTTTTGAATTAAGGTTCAGATAAGATTTTGTTCAGTTGCGGTAAAAATTGCATCCAGAGGTTCTGCATTAGGGTGTTTCCGATTATGCTGATGATTTTTCTTGAGATCTCAAGTTTATTTCAAAAATTTTTCATTACATTTTACTGCAAATTTGGATATCAAGAGTTTTTGTCATGGCCGCTAATACGCTGGTCCACAGAAAGTTTCTGGATACTTTTCTTTTTGAAGCATGAACTTTTTTACTAACTCAAATCAAGTTCTGCGCAAATCAATTTTGTCGCAAGATAGACCAGGCGATTTCTGAATATTTACTTTTTTATGTGCATGAGTAATCATAGAATAAAAAAGAAGGATACATCATAAGATAAATGGAAGGATACATAGGATAAACCATAGGATAAAGAAGGAGATACAAATGCGAAGGAGCGGTGTTGGATAACACAAGACAAGCTTCGTATAACATTGTAGAAGCAATATACAGTGTGATCAACATTAGGTCTTAATGGCGATCAAGTTGCGTAAGGGGCATCATGATTGATAAACCATTCGGCATGCGAGCAAGTTGTTAAAACGGATTCATCAAAGTTTCGTAGAGCTACAAATGCATTTCTATATTACCTGCATAGTGATATATGAGTCGCCAGCTGGTAACTGGTGAAAAAAGGCTAAAATCCGACTGTTAATTAGCCTTGGCATTATAATATACGATTAGTTTTTGAATTGTTAGTTGTCCATACAGTTTCACATAAAACTGTACGGGATATCCTCTAAAGTTCTCATCAACAGTGAAAGAATTCTGCACATTTGCTTTGATAACACTAGTTGACCAAACTAACCATGGATGCCATCGACGAGCAAAAGCGTTAGCGTTGCTCCCCCATCTCGTGCACTTCGATGCGGAAGGGAATGCCATGAACTCTTTTTCCATGTCGGCGAGTACTACATTGTGAAGGCCCTCCTTTTTCTCATTTTGGGGATGGCTTTCTACAGTTCTGCTTGATTATGAGGTATTTGTTAAACAGTAACCAGCCAACTCTACCCTTTTCCTTATAGGCAGTTTCGCCTAGCCTTATAAAGATTGCCCGTGTTCGGCCGTCTTCGAACAGTGGCATTATCACAGTCAAGAGTTAGTTCAAAGAGTTGAACAAGCTTGTTGATACAGTTAACTGATAACTATGGCTTACGTTTCGGCACTATCGCCTTCATCAGAGCCTGGAAGTCGAATTCTCAGGAATCTGTTCACAAAAGACTCAGAGACATTATTCGCTTTATCACTTTCATAGTGGGCTTCAGCTTCCTCGGCGGACCGCTATCAATTATGTAGTAGGCTCCAGCCTGCGAGGCGGATCTACTCAAGCATCTACACATCAGCTGATTGACAATAGTCTCCTGCGTTGAGAAAACATCCTTTAACTACCCATCCTCCATCATCTGCCTTAATTCCACTAATTCGTCGCTTTTAATTCCGACTTGCGTGTGGAATAGGGTCAAAATGCGCATCGAAAATATAAATAAGTAGGTTCAAAAAGATTTCTCCTATAAAGCTGCGCAAGTGCCTGCCCGTGCTACTCAACAGACTTTGACCAACGAAACTGTTTCAAAGCATTAATCAAAGCAATAAATAATGCGACGTACATCAACAACGATTATTCATGTATTTTGTCTGCAACAATTCAAGAAAAGATACACAACAGTGGTGCAACCACTAGCTGAAATACTTCTCACTGCGGTTGCTGTTAGCTCTCTAAGAGAGCTGCTGTATAAGCTATTCAGTTTTACAGGGTAACTCCTGCCATACTTCCTACTAAGACACCGCCCTCGTCCACTATGTGAAATATTCCAATCGAGATCCCCCGCCATGGATGATCGGCGCGCTACCTCTTCTTGTAACGATTTATATCAGAAGGATGGGACCTTTAGTATTCGAGCGGAAGATGGCGCTCTTTACTTCTTTTAGATGATAGGTGGTTCAGTGAGCTTTTTATTACCTCACTAGAAACGTATTTTACAAGTCTGCAGGAGGCTGTCACGCCCAAAAGGCGTGACCAAAGAGAGAAAGAAAGAAAGAGGCGGAAGGGTCTGGCATGTGTCGGAACACTCCCGTAAGCACCACGAAATGGAATCGAGGACACAATGATAACACACTAACAATATAAACATCAAAAGTCTACTTTTTCCTTGCCCATCATAGTCGGTCCCTGCCCATAACTTGTCCTCCTCAATTGCGCCGATTAAAGAAACCGCCGCTTTGCCGAAGCGAGCAGAGGAGTTCGTCGGAGGTTACCATCACGCCGCACATCATGCCGCAGCCTTCTTCGTGGGCCTTTTTCAGGCATGCAGAGGCAGACCGGTTGACACGACTTGGCTACTACATCCGGGGCGATTGCATTGGTTGTTGTGTGCTGGTCCTTGTTATCTTGGGAATTCGACTTGAATGCGGTACGGTCGCCTTCGCGCAGGGTTGCCGTAATCCCTCTATGTTCGCCATGGCAATCGCGTCGATTTTGGTCCAGATGGCCGAACGACGCTTCCAGTTGTGTAGGCATGCATCAAGGCTCACATGTTGACGTTGAGGTGCAAAAAGCTCGTGTAGGGCCTATACATACGGTGTGCAGGTACCACAACGGCGTGTGGTATGGTTGATTCTAAATGTTACAGATATTTTAACTTAGGGGTATAATATGCGAATGAGAGTATCATTCTTATGAATAAGTGTGCCTCACTGTAAATGATGGCTGGTTGCGGCATATGACCACACTATGAATACGAGACGCAAGAATGGAGTCGCAACAAGTATTAATGCTGCGAATATCATTTTCAAGAGGAGCACGACCACTGCCAGGCTGCAGAGGTAGGTTAAGCCCAAAAGACGGTGGCCGTCCCTGCTAAAGCTAGCGCAGTCTTCCAGTGCGCTATGAATAGTTTCAAAAGTGGGTTCATATCTGGCAGGTGCCAGTTTAGTAAGTATGCTGGCGGGTACGGCCATTGTTTTTTGGGCTCAACCTGCCTGTGTGACCCGGCAGTGGTCCTGCTTCTCTTATAGTCGCCATTCAGGCTTTCAGCTTTTTACAACCAAGTCTTCCATTTCCACACCTACGCTCGATGAAAAGCGCATCCTTGTACATCAGATTTTGAGAGAGTCCTTTTGCTCGAACGACCAATGACATTTAGATGATGCAATTTCAATTTTCAGAAGAGAATACTGCTTCTCCTTGTATTAGCCAGTATGAAGATGGCGGTCTCGAAAATTCCTCCTTGGTGTATTTTTTTTACTGTACACCTTCGAGTACTGAATATGGGAGGCGCCCATACTATTCCAGTGATTCTAGTAATTCTTGTGATTCCTGTGATTTCTGCTATTCCTAGACTTCCAATGCGCCGCGATAACGCCGCTTTGTCTTCTGATGTTGTTAAAGTAAAACTAAAGAAGTTCTACTTGCACTTTAGGTATCGTATAGAAAAACAGCCTACGTTGAAATCCTATCATTCATTTTTGATCTATATAGCGCCAAACGACAAATCGAGGCGTTATTGCGGTTCATGGGAAATCCAGGAATCAATGGAGTGGTATGCTCACTCTCTTTAACATGCCTAGCAAAACCCCGCATTTGAGATGGTTTCACTTACGAGAAAATAATAAGGGATTCGACAACGATGAGACGACAAGCAATTTTCAACGTTTTCCCCGCTCGCGCTCGTTCCCCGGTGTCTGCAATATCGCGTTGATTCGCAGAATATCGAGAGTACAGTGGGAATAAAAAGATTTTGTAATCATTTTGCAAAGCTCGTTTTTGATGTAGCTTTGTCGGTTGTCGGTCTGTTTTATTTCCATACTCTCTATTGTAGTTGTGTTCTTGTCTGCGCGTTCAACGTTCATTTCATCAATGAATGTTGACTAATTTCCAGGTGCGATGGAGAGGTTTCTGAGGCTGGGTGGTCTTGGTGGAGGACTCGGACAGGTAAATTCATTTCCAATTTTTATTTGCATTTTAAAATTTTGGTTTGGCAAGGTAGCGTGTTAAAGTTTCAAGTCTTATGACAAAACAAGGGCAGCCTCTTTACAAATCCACTTTGTTTGGTTATATCTACCACATTGACCACTAATGTAGTTTGAATTAGTTGTCTTTACGACTCGACATCAGTTTCGAGTAGAATCAAGTTATCTCTCGACCAAGACTGGAAGGGAATAACTGGATTTTCTTTGACTTTGAGTGCTTCGGTCTTTTCTAGTGATTCGAAAATCGGAGTGGTTGTGGCCAGACAGTAGCAATAACAGTAATAATAATTGCAGTAACATGGCGAGTATTCGATTTGGTGCAGGAGGTACAGTTTTATCCCACTTCTGACGCATTGTATGTATTCATGGGCGTTTCGTATACTAAAATTTCTCTCGCAACAGTTGCAGCGGCGCATTATTATTCCACATAACCTTGTGTCCACCCGCAGTCAATTTTTTACATTAGCAATATTTGCGATGCGCACAGTGAGGGCAATCAAATATACATATGAATGGCTTGATGTCTGTCTAGTGACTGTTCCTACAAGGCTCCTAATACTGCTCAGCATTTTTGGTCTGTGATTGTCCACTGTCTTACTTTTAGTTTGGTGGAGGACCCCCTTCCGACTCTAACCAAGTTGATACGTCTGAAACAGTCTACATCTCATCCCTTGCTCTGCTCAAGATGCTCAAGCACGGAAGAGCTGGAGTGCCTATGGAGGTAATTTTTATCCCTGAAAAATTTTTTCTGAGCACTGTATTCAGGGTTGAAATATCGAAGCCATGATTTTTATGCTAAAACTTCATTTTCTCAGGTCATGGGTCTGATGCTTGGCGAGTTTGTTGACGAGTATACTGTGAATGTCATCGACGTTTTTGCGATGCCTCAGTCTGGCACGGTATGCGACATCATGCTCTTTATCTTATATTTTATAGTTTCTACCGTAGGGTGTCTCCGTCGAAGCAGTGGATCCTGTTTTTCAAGCAAAGATGCTCGATATGCTGAAGCAAACGGGTCGGCCAGAAATGGTAGTTGGATGGTGAGTTATTCCACATTTTATGGATTTCGGTTCACTTTTTAAGACTCATAGCGACCAAATGCTATATAGCACCGTGGTTTGCTTTTAGCTATTAAAATGCGCATTTTGGAAGCGTTTTTGTATCGCTTTAGAATGAACCGAGTTATTTGCGAGCGTTTTAGATCACAATTCCGTTTGAGATAACATAAGTTTTCTTCACACATATGCTGCATTTCTTGCAAAATGGTTTTTGGTTATGTTCTTCCTTTTACCCGAAATGAGGTTCTATTTGACTAAAACTTCTGTCAAAATATTGATTCAGTGGCTGTTACCGTGGCCAACGGAATTTCGCATGTACTAGGCAACATTTCAATTTGGGCTTCCTCATGCGCAATTTCAGGTACCATTCACATCCTGGTTTTGGCTGTTGGCTCTCAGGTGTTGATGTTAACACTCAGCAGTCATTCGAGGCCTTGTCAGATCGCGCCGTGGCAGTGGTAGTTGATCCTATTCAGTCTGTCAAAGGAAAGGTCAGTTTCTGTATATTTCTTGTTATCTATACGGGAATTGATGAATTTTTTGTTTCAATGGTTGCCTTCTTGACGGAAGTAAAATATCTTACACATGTTTATTCTTGCTTTTTTGCTACACAAATTTATTAATTTTTCCCTTGACTTCTTTCGACTATGCAACAGTCTTTGGCTCCTTCCATCCTGGTTGTGCGCTTACAACTTTCAATCTTCCTTATATCATCTTACTTTCTAGATACTTACATGTCCATAGTCCAAGTCTGGTAGTTCGCAGAATACAGGATAAAATCAAATAAGGCACTCTAATGTTTTTGCAAGCAGAAAATTGGGATCTAGGTTTGAGGGAGCACTGTCCTCTTCCCTGATATTGTCGCGTTTACTCTAGAAACCTCATTACTTTGAATGTTTCCTGTCTCATTTCATTACTTTCATTATAACTTCCTTTCTCGACATGTTCCCCTCTGTGTCATCATTGGCTGTTCAGCATTTATTGAATGAAAAATAAAACACATTTTCCTGTCAGAGAAACTTCTGCGCAAATATGAGTTTTAGTCCAAAGGCATATACACATATGTACAACAAAGTTGCACAAATGCTCTACTCTTTCTTTGCAGTTTTATCTTTTACCCTTATTCTACGGTTTTCTGACATCTAGTTTATAAAGTATAAAGTATTGATGCTCAGAATGCATGGTGCTTTTTTCTTTTAAGAAAATGATCTAATAATATCCTTAATTTTCGTAGTATTTGTAAGAACAGTACAAGCACATCTTTGCAGTCTGCTTCAGCTGTTTTGTTCAGGTCGTTATCGATGCGTTCCGTACCATTAACCCGCAGACTATGGCTCTAAATCAGGAACCTCGTCAAACAACAAGTAACCTTGGACATCTACAGAAGCCTAGTATCCAGGTTTGTAATAGCATTCGCTTCACACAAAATCTTCGAATACTTCATATCAGGCTCTGATTCACGGCCTGAATCGGCATTACTATTCCATACCCATAGCTTATCGTACTCATGATTTAGAACAAAAGGTATGCGTTTTGTCCATCTTTGATCTGTCCCAGAAAACCGCGATGTTTTAGATGTTGTTAAATCTTAACAAGCAATCGTGGATGGATTCCTTAGCGGTACAAAATTATACCAGCTGCAGCGAAAAGAACAAAGAAAGCATGCAAGCCATGTTGAAGTTAGCGAAAATGTATAAGAAGGTAAGACATTGTATATATGACTTCGAAAAGCTAGTTTTGCTGTATTCAGGCGTTGGAAGATGAGGAAAAGATGACTGATGAAGAACTTGCTATCAAGAATGTCGGAAAACAAGACCCAAAGAGGCATCTTGGCGAAGAGGTATCTGCTTACTATATGTGGCGATTGTATCGTTGAATCATACATACCCATTCCCATACATGGATGGAAGCATTTGGTGCAACTGCTCATTTTTGTGATTCATTTTTTGACCTAGACTGAACTCCATCAGCTTCGGCGGCTTTGCTTAGTTAACCATTCAGCTTTACAATCATGCTTTTTAGGTCACACGAATGTTGAGTGACAACATCGTTCAAAATCTCGCTGGTATGATGGACACAACTTCTTTCCAGTAATAATTATTATTCTTTATCTAATGTATTCTTCCTTTGATCGGTTGCGACTAAATTATTGCTGTCTCACTGTTGATCTGCTTCATAACAGTACTCGGTAATTGTATTCTATGCGGGCTGTTTCGGAGCTTCGTAAACACTACCATTTCCTTTTCAAGAATCTGGCCTCGCTGTGGGGAATGTAATGAAATTCAGATAGTGATTTTGTTTGTAAACTTAATTTCTTTTTGGCAGCAGTTTTAGAGCAAATCAAAGGGTTGCTCCTTGTTTACTGAGCATTTTTTTGTTAAATGAGCATAATTAAACACTGAACATTTACAGCCTTAGTTTTATTTGCAGTTTAGTACAAGTGTTCATCAGACTACGTTCTTGCTCTTCTCTGTTGTTCTTTATATACATAGTCTGTCTGACTTATTGCGAAAAAAAAAAGTGGTGTAGAGTAATTTATGATATTACAAAACGAAAACGATTTCTTGAACCTTTTCAAATTGTTGGCGTAACTCAAAATTTTTAAGGCTGAATAATCGTCCAGATCACAATTTCCATCGAAGTGCTTACCGTAGGAAGCCCGCCGCAGCCAATTTATGGCCATCATTATAACTGGGTATTGACAACAGTCATTCAGTTTTGCGATACGACTGTGAAGCGGTGTGTGAGAACGCTTCTATTTGATGCGTGCGGGGTCCACAAGCCTGAGCTGAAGTTGCTCGCACAGCAGTCGCGTACGTATTGCTCATTTTAGGTTTTTGGGTTATTTTAGGCCTGAAAGATCTGTCGCCCGTTTTTAAAAATCATGCCTTCTGATTTTCCGAACGATTTTGTTACTTTTATTTTTGTTTGCAAGAGCAAATCATGTTCCTCGTAGTGGTTTTTTAGCGGCTTCCTATTGAGCATACATGGATAGAAGGGGTAGAAAAAAACTCGAATTTTGAGTTTTCTGTTTAGGGTCATAAAAAATCTGAAACCTACAGTAAAGTCGAAGCAGTCAGCATTATAGGTTCTAATACCTGTCTCCTTAACCGTGCAAATTCTTGCTGGTTGAGCGTCTCTATGGAAAGTTATGATTTCCAAGCTACAAAAGGGCAAATGTGCTTAATCTTGGCATTTTTCCTCTCGTAGCTTGTTTTTTGCCGAGAAGTTTTCACATAAATATAACTCAGCCATTGATCTAAGTAAGCTTCAAATCATTGAGGTTCAATTCAAAAACCCGAGAAGCTTTGCATGCAAACTTCAAAAAAAATCGCACGAGATAAAAGTTTTCAAACCTCTCAATAGAAAGGCAGTGCGTTCAATGCAAAAAGTGCGGGAAGTCATAATCAGATAAGGATAAAGCGCAAATGCGTCATCTTCATCCTATTAAGCTTTTAGGCTTGAACTGTAGCTTCCGGTACGTGACCTACAAAAAGTAAAGCGCAGTTTTTGTATAATCAACGGGCTTGCGGAAGTGCCGGTACTTTGCAGAGAATTTTGCGAAAAGCTCGCACCAGCGCGTTTTCTCGTTGTGCTTAGGTACTCAAAAGCAGCATCCAAACAAATATGGACACTCGGAAACAGATTTTGGAAAACTAACTAAAGCACTGCTCAATCGGCAACGTAGAAGGTCCACTCGTGGCTGAGATATTCGTCTTCAAACCAGATCCCACTACCGTATTTGGCGGACCACTTGCGTCGGTTTGCATTTCTGTCGCGTATGCTACCCACCATAACTGATGTGACCGCACGCAAAATTTTGAAGCGAGGGGGGAGGCAGCTGAACTTTTTACGGGGCGTTTATCACGCTCTGCGAAAGAATTTTCGGCGTGCTTTCGAATTTTTTTGCGGCTTTTAACGCAAAATTCGGAGAAGAAGCTTTCCCAGAAAGTTTCTTCTTTTTTGATTTTTTCTAGATTTTAAAAAATATTCCAAACATATACAACAAAAATATGTCGGGCCTGCCTACGATATCAGCATCTACGAACGGAGTGCTAGCGAAAGCATAGGCGTTTGCTTTTAAATCTCTTTGGTAGAGATACCGCAGGATGAAGGGCGTTGAGGGTAACCATCTGCTTTGATGACCATTAACTCTGAGAGACGATATCTTATGAAGATATTTTTTCATAAATCGTGAAACTTCTTGCGCTAGTAAATGCTGTGTGGTGCACTTAGTCCCTTGAAACATTACAGCTAACTATACTCAGCTTAATTTACATCTTTGAACGTCGAATGTAAACGAAATAGCTTTATTGGAAGGCACTGTTGAACAAGTTAAAGAGACAAGCAAATTGAATTCGATATAATCATTTGAGCTTAGCACACTTGTAGAGATCATAATGAGGGCTGACGAGTTCGAGGTAATTGTTCGTGCATCGAAACAATTACAGGAAAATATACAGATACAATTCAACCTAGGTATGCTGGTCTACGAAAGCCTATGCAGATTTAAAGAGAATGAGATCAAGCGACAATTTTAGGCTAGCGAAGGGTCTGAGTGTATCAAACCCAGAAAGGAATCACATGTTTGCCTGTTCGGCTAATGTACTGGAACTCTTCGTGCCAGTAATAATGCCAGAGAATATAGTCGAAGATGTGATTCGTACAGGTGCCTATGCCGAAGTAGAGAATCAGCAGGCTGAGGTGCGGATTCGTCGGGTGCAGAATCGAGACGAGCAGCTTGTCAGCTGTGGCTATAGTCAGAATTACCAAGCCAAAGCAGTACGAGTTTTGGATGATCAGCTGTGGCCAAAGCAGTAGCGGATGCGGACGAGCAACGCAGAGACATGTTCCTGTAAGTTAGAGCGTTAATTTTCTAGAGCGAAAGGGGGGGGGGAAGAAAGGAGCGGGAACGGGGTGGAAAGGATGCTTGGTATTTACTTACCTATCGTAAGAGCTAATGCCATCATCTGCCCTAAACACCATAGACAGCGCATATAACCTCCATCGAGGTAGTTTGCAATACATTCTTGTACCTAAAAAATAAAGTGTTACGACATGCAAGCTTATAGCACATTTCGAAGCTCTGGTTCATTTTTTCAAGGCGCTCATTCTTTAACTTTTCATCTATAAACTCGATAGTTAAAAAACGCGCGCAACCACATATTGCGCTTCCTCTTCACTCCTCCTTTTTTTTAAATCGAATTTCGTGATGTGGACTATTAGCAAATGGTACGAATTTTCTCTAACCCAGGGAAGTTCTACAGCCACCATCTAATTTCCTTCTAAGAAAGGATTGCGAGTAAAATTAATTTGTAATGGAGTGATTCTTACAACTTAATGTAGAAACGGCAAATTTTACGATTTCGCAGCAAAGAAGTTGAAGTTTGAACGGTTGCCCAGTACCGTATACCGGGCACTTTCATGGCGGAATCAGCGTTTCCGAATACGGTACTGGGCGAGAGTTTAAAGTTGAAGTTTTCGGCCACAAATGAATCATGTGACCTACCACTTGGACAGTAGCTTAGATAAGGTCTCGCGAACGTATTATATTCCCTCCCCCTCGCCTAGAATATTCGCGAAATTTTTGAAAATATTTTCACGAGGTAAAATTGTGTTAATGACTTATTTTTACTAGGCAACAAGTAAATGTCAAAAAGTTCTAAAAATTGGACGCGCTTCTCTTGGGAGCATGGCGACAGTCACGTCCAGTCTTTATAATTTTCGGAGTAACAAGCAAAAAAATTGGGAAAGCACCGCAGAAATTTTTTTGGAAGAGCCTTAAATTGAAAAAATTCTGGCGTACCGCCGATAGCATCTCATGAAGAAACTTATTGTGATTTTTGTTTTTTGACTGCTTTTAATTTTATTCTGCTAGCCTTACCGGATTATCGATGAGAATGATTCAGAACGCACCTGTATCAACTCATGGAACAGACCAAAATCGAAGATGATGACATCAGCACTTAAGAAACTTCCTGCAGGAGAAGATTCGTTGAATGAGCAGAGAAAAATCTGGAAAGCTGTAGAATTGATTTCACGACATCCCAAAGAGGCATTTTTAGCATCAAATCCCGTAGTTCTTCAAAATTCAAAAATACCATAAACTTATGCACTCACATTATTAAAATTCGCTACTGAATAGATATGTTGAGCCAGTGATACGGTAGCGACGATAAATTGTGCTATGGCGAGAAATATGACAAGCGAGCGATTCCGCACCCAAATTCCGCAAAAATACGTCCATTCGTCTTGCACCCGTACTCCGCGACACATTGAGTCTGTAATTACACTATAAGACCGTGCAAAGGATGTTTATACTTTATTATTTCTGGACAAAGACAAGAGGGTGCTGCATTGAGCAAGAAAGTGCTAGTACGAGTGCCAGGGCATAGATCCCTCTCGGATAGAGTGCTCATCGAAGAGAAAAACCTTTGCACTCTGCCAATGGACGAGAAAGCTTTTGTTGTGACTTGCAGGGGGGGGGGGGGAAGGGACGACCACGACCTGACGCTTGGCAGAGTGCAGAACTAAGTGGAGGCTCCAAAGGAACTTCAGCAGGGGGGGGGGGGAACACCCCGGATATGGCAATGACCTCACACCAATGGTCTCAACACGTTAATGCTTCCGTGCTTCAGCGCTTAATTCGATGACGTTTTTTCTTAAAGTGATTTGCCTGATTTTGCTTTCCGTTTTTTTTGCTAGGAGATAAGGATTCCTTAGATTCTAGTTATTTTTGGATTATGTGAATTGTTGCAGATTCCGTCCTGATGATGTAAGAGAATGTAGGACACGTAGATTCACGTCTTTTAGAAGCTGGATGCGTAAATAGCGTTTCAGAAATGTTATTAAGTCAATTAATCAATTAGAAGAATATTTTTGCAAAATCTCAGGTCCCGTTCTTCAAGAATTCACTAGTATTATACTGTTCCCGCGTTTTGCTAAAAATAAACAACTTTTTTTTGTAATTTGAGAAAAAAATCTTGTACCTTTCAATGAGGATTTTATCGAAGTGAAAGAAGAGATTATTTTTTTAACACGAGAAATGTTTGAGCTTCTTCTACAAAGTCCTTGAAAAGAGTAAATTTTCTTTACTGTGCACAAGCTTTCAAACGTTCTTTTCAATCCACGACCGCAGTAAAGTTTTTGAATTTTTCTTTTGTCTTTTCACAGAATCCACTATGGATTCACATAATGCAATGTGTTTTAGACATCCAACTCTTATTGAAGAAAGATATCAAATCTTACAAGAACTTTGTCAAGGTATCACATAGTCAAAAAATACTTTAAAGCAAATAACCGAGAATTTTTTGCAAATTATTTTAACAAGGAATGATTATACAAAACAAAATGACGATCATAGTAATAAAATTGCACAGAATGTAAGAAACGGAAATACTTTTCAAAAGCATTTTTGAATTATAATAAACTCACTTTATGGAGCTAAACCAAAAATGACAGTCTAAATGGTTGTTGGTATGACCTTATTTTCCCTCAAAATAACGAAATTGAAAAAAGTGCTTGGTAAACAAAAGAATTAGTGCGAACATCAGAGCAAGGAAGCCGAAAAAAAGTTGAGCGAATGGGGACCACATTGATAATGAAGGTAAATGGGTACATTCTGTTGAAATTCTATTCTATGTCCTTATAACTGGAATAGTCTGCCATCTGCGCCCCGTCTGAGACGATGAAAAAGCTGGGCCCAACTGGGGGAGGAAGAGCAAAAGAGGAAATCTTAGGTCTCATGATTTGGTGGAAAGAATCTCTGGGATCGTTCAGCTCTCCAGACAACAATAGCGAGACACAACGTACGACACACAAACATTACAATGCCCCACTTAAGCCGATTCTTAATGAAGCGGAAGATTGCGTGATTCGCTTTTCTTCTAGCCTACTCCACTGTTGTCGTGTATTTCCTTGATTCCCGGATTTTCGCCTTGTTGCTCACAAGGAAGAGGAGAAAGAAAGAGGTTCTTTTGAGCCTGTCCTAGGCGATAATCTTCGCTCAATTATGTCATAAGCTAGAGAGACAATAAAAAATGGTTCCAATATCTTTCCTGATGCCTAGAAATGTAATAGTATCACCATCTGAGTACGATGCCTCGGATCTGCAACCCCATTTTTGAAAATTTTCATTCATCCCCAACAAAACAGTGAGAAGTTTTGGAGAAATGATGCGAAAAAATATAAACTCCCTAAAAATAAACAGAACCACACCAAATTGCTAATAAATATCAGGCTAGAAAATTTTGTCACAAAAAAATCATTAAAAAAATCATGGCTTATTAGCATCTCATCCATTTTGCATTCTTCTGCTTCTTTTCTAAAGTTTATTTGAACGCTTTATCTGAGCAGTTGTGTAACTGTTGGAAAAAGTGTCAGCCCCGTAGTGGAAAAGAAAATCACTCGTCTCTCGATTTTCAGAATTATTTTGTACGAGATTCAAAACTTTGTACCCCCAGAAAACCATGAGTGATACGAATTGATGATCTTTTTCTAAGTTGGAAGTTTGTGCTAATTAAACGTCTCTACTTTGAGTCATGAATTTTGGGAAAAGTGCCAGAAATGGAAAGATCGTAGAAGAGTTGCAATAGTTTGGAATAGTCAGTCAGTAACATATGTCTTACAACTATTTTGGATTGATAAAGAAAGATTTTCATGTACTACTCAAAAATAGTACAGCGACAACCAAAGAAATTCACTATATAGTTTTTATTTTAAACGAAAGCTATATTTTTCATATTTCTGACTAAAAAAATGTCCGCCAGTAAATGCCGGAAGTTTTGATTATCGAGATTGATGGTAAAAGTCAAGATTATTCATCTATCTGCAACATATTATCATTTTGTTGTATGAGTTATAAATTAATCTTATAAAAGACTGTAAATTATTACTGGTGGAGATGCGAAACTTTTGGATCAACCTGAAATTTACTTTGAAACCTGAATAATACGACAAAATAAGCATATTTCTGCTTAATCTAGAAAAAAGGATAAAAGCTGAAAGTTACTTGGCAAGAATGGTACAATACTAAATAGAAACTTCTCAAAATAGCTCCTTATATCCCTTCGCCCTCTAAAAAATCCATACGAGCGCCGAAAACATGACCTATAAATCAGACTATCCATTAAGTGTCTAAGCTTAAGCTGATAGTGAGTTGGACAGCTTTAGTAAGAATTAGAAATAAGCTGATACTCACGGAGGAGCTCGAAAGTGCATGTAGACTTGGATTATGGTGAAGCCTCGTGTACGCACTAGGGGAGCAAGGCCCCTATCCAACACGCAAAATGTTTCTTTTTATGTTAGTTTCTCGCTTTATGTCTTCTTTTATGTCATAAGTTGTGACGCTACGATGATGAAATGGTATTTTTCTGAGATGAGAAAAAATCCCTGCGTAAACAAGGATTACTGCGTCAATGAAAATCTAAAATTGGCAGTTAAAAATAGACATATTTTTGGCTCCGAAAACGGATAGTGTTCAAAAAAAATCAGGCAAAAAATTGCATGCATCTAGTACTTCATCTATCAAATGCTTAGAACAATTCTGTTATATACATAATACTTTTACTCATTTATTTACATAACCGGTTGCAAAATGGAATTCGTAATCACAAAAGGAAATTGCTGTTCCTGCTATTTTTGTTCTGACTAACTCACTCTTAAAATATTTTTGTAATTATGAACGGAAATTATCATCCCTATTATTATCATGTTCTCATACTCAGAATTATGACGCTTCGACTTTTTGCAATCGCCCCATTTTACATTTACGCAATCGACAAAATTTCTTGAATCCCAAAATAGCAGCATAATTTGAATGTGCTTAATTTCAAAGAAAATCATCATTCCTGTTATCACAGGCGTTATGGAAAATTCCTTTTTGACGTTTTGCTTACTGTCGTCATTTTACGAATGTGCGCGTTAGAAATTCCTTGAGGGAAAATTAGAGTAATAAAACAAATATTAAGTGAGATTCTGAGGTCTATATTAAGAACTGAGTGGAAAAAATATTAATCAAACTGCAGCTTTCAAAATTTCTCGAAGAACAGATCAAATTGAGTAAGATAACGTAAGCTAAAATAACAGATTGCAAAAATCTCTGAAAGAGCGGCAAAATCATAGTACACAGTTTGGAAAAAAAACTAAAGTGCAAAAACTTGTAGAAAAACAGCCAAAGCTTACTGTTCAGAAGTTTGCTCTGAAAATTGAAAAAGTCTGGTAAACTTCACCCGAAAAAAAAACCAGTAAACTTTGGAATCTTAATCTTCTGCTCTGTCTTCGACTAAGGCTGCTAAACTGTTGTTTTCGGTAGACACAATTTTCCCAATTTGTGAGATTTTGGCATCTAATAAAATTTCAAAAACTCAAACCTACAGATTTTTAAATATTCCTGTTTCAGATTGATTTCAAATCACAATATCGCTCACAGAACGTGATTCGTGAATCTCGCCAAATTTCCAATATTCTGCGCCACTCCGGTAATTTCGCGGAAACACGCGAATCGCGCTAACTACGCAGTGCTGTAACTTCCTTCGGAATGAATATATTCTGAATCCCAAAAAAGGCAGGTAAAGATGAGATAGTTTTTGTAGATAAAATTACTTTTCTGCTTAAGAGATCCCCAACCTTTGTGGGTGGACGGTGGATGGTATATTTAAAGGTGTAAAGCTAATAGAAAACAAGTTTTCTGCGTGATATCATAATAAAAAAGGCTATCGATTTCTGACCCAGATACACAACGGAAATATGAAGAGTGCTTGAAGGAGAAGGAACTGCACTCATCCCACAAATTAATCTAACGTCTCCGATTGCACTTATTACGCATTCATTATCGCTTATTTGTCGCGCTCAATCCTCTTTCAAGCTCTCCGGAACTATCCACACATTTGAATTGCACTGAGATATTCGTCGTCTGAATGTCCTTCAAAGAACGATCATCTCAGCTTTAGAAGATTTGTTGTTTCTATTTGGATCAACGACTGCCCTTGTCAGTTTTACTCGTTTTATAAGCTATTAAATTTTTACATACGCTTTTCACCTCGAAGATTCCTTGGATAGATGTGGTGGCTTGAGAGATCGTTTGAACTGTAGAGTAAAGGAAAAGAAGGGTTACACTCAGTGATTTATACATGTCACCTGCAATGACAGGGGGCGGAGCGGGAGTGAGTTCTACTTCATTTCCTATAGGTTAAAGCCTGAATTCTCATGTGCTGCTTTACCGCGTAGATTTGAAAAAATGCGCAGGTAGCTTGGAAGGTCATATAAACTGTGGAGCTAAGAA